GGGAAACCTGCTGTTTATCTTGTTCTCTATGTTGTTTTTATGGTTAGGATGGTACCGCTCCACTCTGGATGGCGGCTCAGATGGGACACAGCGAGGTCGTCAAAGTTCTGCTGCTACGAGGTGCAGACAGAGATGCAGACAGAAAAGTATGTAGAAAACCTTTGTTTTTTATGTTCACATCAGCTTTATGTTCATATCTATGTTGTGAAGTTTGAATTTAATATTTTAGATTTGCATTTTATTTTTAGTTCAATTAAATTAGTTATTTTTATTCTAATTTATTATGTAATAACAGTTTACTTAATTCTGTTTGATTTTTGGTTTCATCGTTTACTTTGTTATATTTGTTATTGTAAATTCAAATTAGCATTATATATCTGGTGTTTTATCTACAAACTATGGAGATTTTATTTTATTTAATCAGTTTATTTGTGATTACATTTTTTATTTGTTACTATAATTGTTTAATTTACTTACTTGGCTTTAGTCATTTATTGTATTTTATTGTTAAATAGATTTTTTAACTATTGTAACTTGCTTTTATTATTTAGTTTATTAGTATTTATTTCTGTTAATGAATTATTTTATTGATGTAATATAATTTAAAATATTTACTGTATTTTCTGATTATTACATTATTAAATGTAATAATGTAACGTTTTAATATTGTTTTTTATTAATATTTAGTTTAATTTAATTTTAAATATTGTAATTTGCTTATTAATTTTTAATTGTATTATTTGATTATATTTGTACGCAATGTTTATTATTCAGCTCATTTTATTCTATTTTGTAATGAAATTAATTATTTATATTTTTGCATAGTCTCCACTCAGGATCAAACTGTTCAGTCAGATGGAACAGGGAGTATATTATGAATGCATGAGGTGTTTGCCAGACTCCACGTCTCTTCTCTTTTGTGTGTTTCAGGACGGGTCTACAGCTCTCTTTAAAGCGGCTCATAAAGGTCACTGCAGTGTCATGGAGGAGCTCCTCAAGTTTTCTCCTTCACTCGGCATCCTCAAGGTGCATAAATGAATCAAAAGTGCCTCAAAAATAAGTCCTCTAATTTTAATAACACACAATAACTGTGTATGTTTGTGTGTGCAGAACGGCTCCACTGCTCTTCATGCTGCAGTTATGGGTGGGAGTCTGAAAGCTGTTGATCTTCTGCTGAAGGCAAACGCTGATCCTGCTTTACCAAACACGGTCAGCATGATGTTGTTTAATAATTAATAATAGTTGTTTTATTGTGTTTTTGTTTTTGTTTTATTTGCTTTATTCGTTCATTCATTTTCTTTTCAGCTTAGTCCGCTGTCCAGTCCAAATGTTGGCTGAAGTTCAGATTTTCGAACTTGAGCGATTCGCGCGAAATGCGCGTTGAGCGATTCAAACGCGTTATGCCATATGGCAACATTCGTGTGTATCTCGCCACATCATTCGCGCGTATTGCACCGCAGGGTGTTTATTTGCCTGTTTGCATTGACTTATAATATAAATCACTCGGGCTTGATGCTTCTTCTGCCTCTGGTGTGAACGCAGCATAACCAAAAAAAAAAAAAGTAAAATTGACACAGGGTGCTCTTTTCACACCAGATGCGATGCACTGAATCACTAGCTCTTGATTACTCACAGGATTTTTTCCACCTCACACTAAATATTCAGCTTGAACTTGTGCGGAAGACACAATAGAAGCTAAATTTACACCTTTGCGCCACCCAGTGGAAATTTGCCTCTATTTGCATGTATCGGTACATCATATTGACAATAGTAAATGCAGGTCCTTACCTGACTTTGAAGAATAGATTGGAAGAGAAGACACTGTTGCACAAGTGTTCTCGGAGCTTTGTATATAAACTCTTTTGCTTTACATTTCAAAGAGCCAGAACGCAAATAAATGCCAGGCTAAAATGATGCAGCTCAAAGCATCTTAACGCATGTGGAGCACATGGAAGAATGAGTTTTAGACTTTAGTGAGGACGACCAAATTTTTGGAATCAACTGAAAACAATAGTGGGGACGTGGAGCATTTTTAGACCATATTTATCCAGAATAGTGTAGACGAAGCATAATGTTGGGTTTAAATTTGGGATTTGCTCATGTAATTTACATATATATAGTCGAAAACAGGCGAATTAATGCCGGGTGGTGTAAATGACATGAAATTTAGAATATGTTTGCTGAGAATGTGCGGAATTCATCTCAATTGCGTCTTTCACCCAAGTTTCGAAAGTTCAACTCGAACCAAAAATTTGGGTTAAAACATCTTACAAGTAATGCGATGCTTCACATCTGGTGTCAACCCATCAAGAGTCAAAATAAAAACAAATACAGAGAAAATAAAATATGTATGTGCATTCTGAGGTCTTATGAAAAAAAATGATAAGTCTGTGCAAGAAACTGGATAATATTTACAACATTACTAACTCTATGTCTACCGTTTGCATCACTGATTATCTTGGGTATTAATTGTGCGTTGTCCATGCACTGGGTTTGTTTGGCCCAAATTTTCAGCTAAAAATCCTCTTCAGTGTTCTACAGAATTAAAAAAACAACAACTCACCATTATCTTGGATGTCCTGAAGGATAATGAATGCATGGCAGATTTTCAGATTTCTCTTTAAATGACGCTGTTGTTTGTAAACAATTGTCCAGAACAACGAGCTGCCGCGCGATCTAACCAAGAGCGAGCGGATCCTGCGAGTCCTGCGTCTGCCGCTGATGAACGGAGAGAGTTGATGATGAGCCAATGGAGAGTTTTTCAGCTCATGAGAAATAAATGCACTAAATCCTGCTGAATGGAGACTGAACTCCAGCGGTGCTTCTGCCTGCAGCTTCACTTCAACACAAACAGCTGCTTTTTCATCCTGGTAATGTTATGACGTCAGGTAACAGTCTCTTTTTGTTGCATATTTTATAAGACGGAGTTTTTCTTTTTTTATTATTTTGTTAATGCTGGATTGTCTTCAAGTCTGCAGATGTTTAATTTAATAGCATGTTTTTATTTTAAACGGTCTTATCAGAGAAATTGCAGTCACAACCAAATAAATATGGCATATTAGATTAAAAAGTACATGTTTGCTCATTGGAGAGTTGTTTTTTCTGCATTTTGGACTTCAGATATTTCTTTAAAAAAGTTTAAATGTTTTTTTTTTTTTTGTTTTTTGTCTGTGTAAGAAAAAGTCAAACTGTCAAAACAATAAATGTTACAAAACAACATGCTTTTTGATGTCTTTTATAAAAAAAATTTTTTTATTGTAAAAACAGATTTGCAATATTTCTGTCTCATTTGAAATTTAATTTTTGGTTGAGGTAATTTTTTTTATATAATTATTGCTTAATTATTTAATATTTATCTTTATATTAGTGGTATTTTTAATAACTTCAGGTGTATTTATTGATGTTTGTTTAACTATTTATCAACTTTGTCTTAAGGGGGCAACAGTACGGCGCCTTCATGTTTGCATTTTGCGCTTCAAAATGTGCCACACATTCTCAGTTGGAGACAGGTCAGGACTGCAGGCAGGCCAGTCAAGTACCTGTATCTTTTTCCTCTGCAGCCAGGATTTTATAATGTGTGCAGAAAGTGGCTTCTTCCATTTCTCCCAAAAAAATACCTAAAATTCATCTGACCACAATGCACGTTTCCATCGTATGATGGGCCATCCCAAATGCCTCAGAACTCAAAGTTGTCGATCGCCCTTCTGGACAATGTTAACATAGGGCTTCCTTTTGGCACAGTACAGTTTTACTGGCGTCTGTGGATGTAACTACATATCATGGTACTTGACGAGGGCTGCAGTGCGGCCAGAGGGATAAGAAATTCTGTTATGTTCGGTTGTTCAGCTTAGACTCGTGCCCGTGTCCTTTACGCACTGAAATTCCTCCTGATTCCTTGAAACCTTTAATTATGTTATGCACTGTTGAAGGTGAAATATCCAAATGTCTTCCTCTCTTACATGGAGGAACATTGTTTTACAACTTTTTAAATCATTTTCTGATGTATTTGTTGGCAGACTGGCCATCCTCAGGCCATCTTTGCTCCTAAAGGACCAGACCTTTCTTTAATCTAGCTTTTTTACCAGATCATAATTATAATCACCTGTTTCAAATCAGATCATTATTTAACCAAATTTACATAATTACTAGTCCTAAATTGCAACTGTCCCAACCTTTTTTTGGATGTGTTGCAGGTCTGAATGACAGGAAAGGATGTATATTTACAAATGAAATGAAGTTAACCAGACAATACATAAAATATTTTGTTTGTATATTTGTTCATAGAGTCTGCCATGAAATACACAAGGTAAATTTGGAAATCACTACTTTATTTTATTTGGGAATTCATACTGTCCCAAATATTTCTGATTTGGGCTGTATGTTTTTTTTTCATATTGACATTTTATTTGAAAATGAAGATTAATGTTTCATGTTTTTTTTTACATAAATAAACTGACCACACGCATCACATCTTATTTGATCAGTTTAATAGTTTATAAACGCACCAATTATTATGATGTTACATTTGATAAAGCAACATGTAAATGATGTGTTTGGAGGTTTGAAATCAAGAAACCACATTAGAAAGCGTTTAAACACCAAACATGATCTCAGATGATAAAATGTCATTTTTCTGAATCACGGGTCTATTAAACACTAAACCATGACCTGAAATCCATTCTAATGCACCCTGTTATTATGATTACTATTACGTAAACACTCATAATTACACCGGTTACAGCTTGTAAACACAACAAAGTCAAATAATCATATATACCAGTGAGTAAAAGTGACAGAAACTGCATCTCCATCAACTGTATCTCCCAAGTCTATCCAACTTTTCCCTGAAGGTTCCCTTTTCACATCCCATAACAAACATTATGAAGAATATTTGTGCTAGTTTATCATATTTTACAGTTAATATGAAAAACTGGTTTACCCATAAAAAGACAAAAATCAATCACATACATTAAATAATTTCACAAAGAAAGTGTAAAGTCTCCACAAAAAAGGGAAAAAACTCTTTTTAACACTTGAGTACAAGTAAACAATACATGAGTTCAATGAAGGCAAACGATGTAGAAATAATAGGAAAAAAGTGCACTGGATTTAAGGACAATCTCTTTGCTGGATAACACGTAGCGTAATCAAGAAGCATCATCAGTTTTCCCTGTCAAATGAGCTTTCTGATAATATATGATGTGAGAAAATTACATTTTTGTCATCATCATCACCATCTAGTAATAAACATGAAATAAACATGATTTTTAAGTCAAGCTATTTAGCAAAATGCAAAAAACATTTTTTTCGAGGAAGTCCATCTTTATTAATAATACTAATAAAAAACAGATTTCAACTAAATGTTTGTCAATTGTTACATTTAAAGGGAATAATTCAAGTTTGCTGTCCAAAAAGCCAATTATAAAATATAAAACACAAAAATGATTTTAATTTAAGAAAACTCATTTTTGAAAAAACTAATTTTGTTGTGAATTGTGTTGTGAAAAAATTGTGAATTAAAAAAAAAAAAAACGAATTTGAGAAACCTAATGTTTAGGTAATTTTGAGAAAACTAATTTGAGAATTTTTGAGAAAATTGAATTTGAAGAAACAAAATTGAGAACAAAATTGTGTAATTTTGAGAAAACTAATTTGAGAATTTTTGAGAAAACAAATTGAGAATTGAGAAAACTAATTTGAGAAACTAAATTGAGAAAACTAATTAGAAAATTTGAGAAAACCTCCATTTAAACTATGAAAGAAAAAAATTATATTGTGAAAAAAATAGATTTCAGCTTAATTTTGATTTTAATTAACTCTCAAATATTTTTTTTTTGAAAAATTACTTACTAAAAAAAAAAAAAAAACTGAATGAGACTGAATTTTGAGCTTTGAGAGAGCTATTCCTTTTAAATATCACAAACATATTTATTACTCTGTCAACTAAAAAACTATAACCTTGACAAAATGTTTATTTTCCAATCATCAAATTGACCCATTCCGTTCCAAAGTTCAGTTCCAAACATGTTTCATACTGCAAAATTCTACATTTGCAACAGCAAGCAACACTGAATGTTTACTATAACAGGAACTAACAGAAAAACCCGAACTGCTTGCTAATCATCACCAGGCTATGTATCATTTCTACACAGGAACTTTGTTAGCAAAACTCTAAACACTTTCAGACGCTTCAGTGTTCTTCTGATCCTCAAGTCACACCAATTGCTCTCATCTCAAAACTAGCTGGCAAGATTTTAGTGTACATCTCTAGAAGTCACGGATTACATTAGCAAAGCGAACACCTTTGTCGGTGCCTAATGGAAATACATAAGCTTTGGTAGGAAGATGAAAACAAAGTGAATGCAACCGCGGCCTTGCTACAGTATCCGAGCTGTGAGTTTTATTCGAGGCGCAAAGTGAGTAAAGGTTAGCCAAGTTTACCCGGGGGGTCATTAAAACACGGAGAACAGAGAGCCGAGGGCTAATCCAGTAGCAGCGCCGGCTAACATGCCCAGAGCCACATCACCCGTGTCCTCGCGCCGGCGCTCCTGAACAATCACATGGTTGACGGGCTGAGTGAATCCACCTGATAGAGACGAAGAAGAAATGATGATCAAAATATTTGACTCCAATCAGATTTAGATAGCTTTGCTGTAATTCTCTTAATTCATTCATTTATTTTCATACACTTCTAACTATTGTAATTTACTTACCTCTTTCCCTTTGTAAGAATGCAGTTAAATGTAACTTGTATTTTCCTTAAATAATATAATATAATTTCCTAAATATATATATTTATCTTTTATATCTCTTGGTTGTGTTTAAATATTTTAATTTATGAATAAAAACTAATTCTATAAATAAAAAAAGACATTCCAGACACAATCAGGGTAATACGGGAACCATGGGAGTACAATTTTTTTAAAGTCCCAGTGAAATCAAAATGTACGTTTTTTAGGTGTAAGTATCAACATATTAGTCTTAAGTTAATCTATAAGCTTATGTGCTTTGAAGTAGTGAAAACTTTTACATTTTAAAGTGAATAAACATTCAAAGTTTGAGATTGGTCACTTTCGGCAGTATTAAGAATTTTTTTTTTTCATGACTGCATAATTCTGTTTCTCGTCATATTTTCTGACCAATCAATGCTCTCTAGTATCTGACAGGACACACCCCCTTCAAAAAGCTTTTACTACATGCTGAAATAGGTCACTCATTCACATCAAAAAGCATTCATACCGAGAGTTAAATAAATAAATCCACAAATTCCTATATAAATAACAATAAATAAATAAAAAAATAAATACACAAATTCCTGCATAAATAAAACAATAAATAAATCCGCAAATAAATAAATAAATCCACAACTTCCTGCATGAATAAAACTATAAATAAATAAATCCGCAAACAAATAAATGAATAAATCAACAAATTCCTGCATAAATAACAATAAATAAATAAATCCGCAAATAAATAAATAAATCCACAAATTCCTGTATAAATAAAAATAAATAAATAAATCCACAAATTCCTGTATAAATAAATAAAATAAATAAATAAATAAATCCACAAATTCCTGCATAAATAAAACAATAAATAAATCCGCAAATAAATAAATAAATCCACAAGTTCCTGCATAAATAAAACAATAAGCAAACAAATAAATGAATAAATCCACAAATTCCTGCATAAATAACAATAAATAAATAAATCCGCAAATAAATACATCCACAAATTCCTGCATAAATAACAATAAATAAATAAATCCGCAAATAAATACATCCACAAATTCCTGCATAAATAACAATAAATAAATAAATCCGCAAACATATAAAAAAAATCCACAAATTCCTCCATAAATAAAACAATAAATAAATAAATAAATAAATAATAATGTATGCAGAAAAATAATTAAATAAACAACACAAATATTGGGAATAAAAAAATGCTAAATCCATCACCACCTCAAACGTTTATTAATTTTTGAACGTAGTTCCGTATTTACTTTTCCTCAGCTCAACATGCTAATGAGGGTGTGTATCAATCATCAGTAGGTGGTCTTTATGCTATTGGTTGATTGTTAGAAAAAAAATGCAAATCATTACATGCTAAAATGTATCATTTATTTAGATAAAAAAGCATTCATACCGAGAGTTCACCTAAACTATGGAGGACGAAACCTGCAAAAACAATTAATAAAATAAGCAAACAAATAAATAAATCCAAAAAATCCTGTATAAAAAACAATTAATAAATAAATACACACATAAACATTCAAATAATTGATATTATAATAATTATAAAGTTGGGGGAATAAAATGCTAAACTACAAGTTGATTCATTATGTTATGCCAGCATTGGTTGATTGTTAGAAGAAACTCTATTAATCATCACTACATGGTAAAATCGGTCATTTATTCATGTCAAAGAGCGTTCAAACCGAGTGTTCACCAAAACACTTGCAAATATAAAAAAATTAATAAACGTTTGTCAAACAGCGTTGATCTACGGCAAGCCCAGAGGGGAAAAATACATCTGACTGGCACAGCTGTGATGTAAACGGCACACTATTGTTTTTTTTGTGTTTTTTTTAAAAAGGGAGGAGCTACTATGTCCTGCCCTCGTTTTGTGTTTTAGTTGAGATTACATCAAACACTGAATAAAAATGCACATTTGAATGATTAATCGTGCAGCTCTAGGACAAATGTCAAGCCATTTAGGGTTACCTTGATAGTGATAAGGGTAGGCGACTGCATACTGCTGCCCGTCGGCTGAGTAAACCATCTGTGTCGCATATGGTGGAGGATGAGGAACGTAACCGCCATAACCATCAGGATAAAAGACCTGCATCAATGAGAAAATCATCAGAGATGAGAGATTAGTTGCATAGTATCATTGGATGCTCATATTTATTTTATTTAGATAATTTATTTTATGATCTTTTTATCATTTATTTCCAGTCATTATGTTGTAAAATAAATACCATCTGGCTAAAAATGTTTATTTATACATATTATAAATCTACTATATTATACATTTGAATTTGTAATATTTATGCTTTTTTTATATATATATTTTAACCATTTTAATGTTTTTTATTTGTTACATAAACATTTTCAAAGCAATTAAATTATGTTCTATTTGAATCTAAACCTTTTGTTGTTAATCTATAATGTTGAAATATTATTAAATTAAAACATTTCGTGATTATTTTACTGATGATTTTTAGTACTTTAATATTTTATGCATTTAAAACTTTTACATTTATATTGTTTTATTTTATTGTTTTAACTTTAATAAAAAAATTTCCCAACTATAAAAATGTAATCACATCTTTTATTAAGAAAACAAAAGCATTTTTTCTGATATATAACATCATCAATTAAATTAAATTAAAATAAAAAAATATGACATTTAGAAAAAGAAAATTATTGATGGCCAAAACATCAAAATAACAAATTACATGTGCAGTTTTTTCTTTCTTTCACTGGCCTTATTGTGCTATATTTCTTGCTGATAACACTTTTATAGCAGCCAATATACCTTCAGTCATTGCTTGTACATGTAATCTGACCTCAATAGCTCTCTGTAGTCAAAGCAGTCCATAAACAAACAATGAGGACACCCAAAACGAAAACACATGCAACCAAATAACCTGGATATCTTCAATAAAATAAAAAAATAAAAAAATTACACAAATACCTGTGGAGTTGGGTTTAGCTCAGAATATGGTGGAGGAGCCGATGCCACAGGATCCTCCCCAAAACCCATCTGAGGAGGAGCCACAACCTACAAAACACAACATTGAGCACGTTTACATGCACGCCAACACCTAGATAACTCACAAAACATGTTAATATCCAGTTTTCCTGGTTTACATGCAAACCAATAACCTGGTGCGAGTAAATTGTGTTTACAAGAACAGATTGATATGTTGAGCTATTCTTGTAAACTGCGGTTTACTTGAGAATGTAACTCCTAGTGTGAGTAGGTTGTACTCTCTGGAAGGGCATTCGCAGTGTAAAACATATGCCAGAATAATTGGTGGTTCATTCCATTGTGGCAAGGAAAATTAACGCAGAAAATAAACCGAAGGAAAGTGAGCGAGGAACTCCTAGTGTTGCATTATGACAATTGTCATATTCAATAAATAAACGGTATTACAACGCTGTAAGTTTTACGCTGACATGTTTACATGCATTGATTATGACTTTTCGGACTGAACGCACTTATTGAGTATGTGTACATGGACATTAGTAATCTAGTCAATTACCTTATTCTGAATAAGACAATTATTAACTGTGCAATGAATTTCAGCAGCTGAAACTGATCGTATACTTATCTACAATTCAGTTAAGATGGAAATCGATTACGATGCAATTGAGGTTTATATAAATGAATCTGGTGGCAATTGTCTTTAGAATTGTTTACATGGTATTTTCTGTTTGTTTTGCCTCTGAATGATAAATATTAAAGTGCATTGATGCAACACAAGAAACGCTATAAATATTACTGGCATTCGCAAGCACCACCTGCTGGCAGAGAGTCAATATGCCTCTAATTTTTAAGCAGCAGGCCAATCATTTTCACAAAACGAAAGTCAGGAGATTCTGTGTTTGCTTCAGATTTTGAAATTATAGTTTAATTTAGACGAAAAAAAATGCATTTTTGTTCAGTTTATGATCAAATTGCTGTGGTGCCCTCTAGTGCAGAGTTTTTAAACTATGTTCCTGGAGGACCACCAGCTCTGCACATTTTCCATGTCTCCTTAACAAAACACACCTGATTCAGATCATCAGCTCATTAGCAGAGACTGAAAAACCTATAATGAGCATAACAGACAAAGGAGACATTAAAAGCATGTAGTGTTGGTGGTCCTCCAAGAGCGTGGTTGAGAAACGCTTGATTATAAATAAGAACGAACACAGGCAAAGCCCTATTTTTTTTATTTGTATTAAGAGACTTATTTTATTTGTGTATCTTACTGATTTGATTCGGGGTTTGATTTAAAATGTACATTTAGTTGTGTTATATTTCAATTTGGAAGCAATAGCGTAATAAAAGGACCCCTTTTGACTCTATAATATCTTTAATCTCATTATGTAAAAAATAAATAAATCAGGAGAAATATCTAATCATGAAATCAAATTCGCAAATTGAATAGCGAGTAAAAGCTATAGTTCAGCCAAAAATTACAATTCTTTCATCATTTACTCTTTTCAAACCTTTATGAGTTTCTTTCTTATGTTGAACACAAAAGAAGATACTTTGAAAAATGTTGGAAACCTGTAACTTAATAATGACTTCCCTATTATGGAAGTCAATGGTTACAGGTGGTTCTCAGCATTCTTCCAAACATCTTTTGTGTTCAACAGAAAAAAAGAAACTCAAAGGTTTGAGTGCGAGTAAATAGTGAGTACATTTTCATTTTTGTGTGAATCACTTCTTTAAGTATATTGTTACATCCCTAGTAAACAAGCATGCATTTTCCCCACCCATAATGCACTTGTGTAACTCACAGTGTTAAGCCTTGCATCCTGGAGAGCCATTGTCCAAGCCCTACAAGAAAACACACTAAGTTTGTAACATAAAATTGTATAATAAAGCACAAATCATAAAAGACGATAATAAATTGTCCTCACAGCGCGTCGTCTGCACTGTCTGCGCAGATGCTGATCACTCGACCATCCCGACAGACAATCTGCAGGAGCGAGTCTTTGCCTTTGCCTTCAGGAGGAGCGAGCTCTGCAGATAAACAATACATACCCTTTTCAGTTGGACACTATGATTTCTGCTGTGTTAAAAACGTGGACAAATTGCAGAATCCAGTCATATGTTTGAATTACATGTATTGCATTGTATTTGGAGAAATAAACGTAAAGTAGTGCTGTGGACCTAATAAAATCGTGATTTGAATAAGTGTCTGTAATTATCAAACTGCTTCTAACAATTTAAATACAAAATCTGTTAGTTTTTGTGTGTTTGTTTAAATTAATAGCGCAGTTTGGATTACTACACAAAATCTGACATGCTTACAGTCTTACTTTTTGAGGATGTAAACATGAACTTTATTTCCAGAGCTGACATGAGTCTCTTCATCTGCATTTTACAGTTTTATATAAGAAAGGATACGGTCACATAATTCATACACGGATTTTCCAGCATCCTTAATACAACCTGTAAAAATATGTAAATATGTACACTGAATTTTTTTTTCTGCAAAATTGTTGCAAACAACTTATTTGTGTTGAATTAAAACAAACAAATTAAATGTAGTAACGTTCAACTTAATTTACTTATTTAAATTCAACATAAACAAATTGTTTACAACCACTTAACTTAAAAAATTTTGGTAAATTCAAGGAATTATCTTCAAATAATTTTTTTCAGCGTAATATGTAAAAATTTTAGGCATTAGTTTATCTAAAGAACAAAAATTATATGAATCCTAAGTTGCTTAAAACTGAAATTAAACTGCTTAAAATGTTTCAGTTGAAACTTTACTAGTCATCCCAACTCACATCAGTTAAACTGACTAAAAGCTTTGTAGTTAAACTTTGTATAACTAAAAAAAAACATTTGTTAAAACACAACTAACTAAATAAAATATGTTAAAATAATGTAAAAAAAAAAACATTTATGACTTGATTTTTTTACTGTGTAATAACTTTATAAATTGTTGCAACTGAACATGCTTTTATTTTACAATTTATAAAATGTATTCAGCTGAAAAATTATAAAACAATTAAAATGAATGAAAATGAATACAGAATTTGTCATTAAATGGATTGCATAGGGCACTACAGTAGTTTTCTGTATTTTCTAATCTAATTGATTAACAAATTGTCCCAACACAAATCAATTATGTTAACCTAATCATTTTTACAAATATAAGTGGATTCAACATAAAAGAATTAGGTTGTCCTAAAACTAACTTTACAATTGTGTCAACACATGTTAAATAAGTAGTTTAAACTAGCAAATTTTTTGAGCATGCTTGTACTTCTGAGGTTTTTGTAGATCAGAAGGAGACTGGTGTGTGTCTCAGACTGACCTCGACAAGCACTGGCATTGCGGATGTTAATGCAGTCCACCTTCATGTGGATCTCGTCCTCCATGTCCCGCCGCTGCTGGTCATCGTAGAAGACGAGACGTCCATCTGACCAGAGGTCAAACCAGTTCTTCTTCCAGCGCCGCAAGATGGTGCCTGAGAGGAGACAACTCTGGTCAGAGACAGGCTGTATTTATTTATTTAATTAATTTATATTTATGAATAAATGTACTCATGTATGCATCAAATTCTACTTGTATATTTTATAGTATGTGCTCATTATAAACTTAATTCATATTAATATTAAAATAAAACTGTCTTAATTATATTTTAAACAAATATAATTTCTTTATTTAATAATACATTTTATAATCTGTACGTTTAAATTATAAAAATGTATTTATTAATATTTGTTATTAATTCATAATAGCGATTCATAATAATTAATTTATCATTATATATACAATTTATTTCATGCATTTACTATTAAGTTATCAATTATGCATTAAATCAATCAATTACACAATAAATGATACAAGAAATATACTTATAATTTATATACAAAACAACATAATTTTAAACTATGTATTGTAAACTTTACATTTAAAAAATCCACCGAATTCCATTTACTCATTTATTCTATAATAAATTATAAACAATGAAAAAAACATTGAAAGAGCTTTAAAAAATTGCAACTTACGCACAACAGTAAATTTTCATAAAGACAAGTGTTTTTAACAATACTGTAGTAAAATACTTAAATTATTATGTTTTGGTAATTTTAAAGTTGCTATTGCAAATACAGCATATGTAATATAAACAAGTTACGCAATGCTACAGTTTTCTATAGGGTAAATTTCACTACAATATTCATCACAGTTTGTTTTACAGTTTATCAGTTCACTATAGTTAATAATAGAGTAGGCTATGCTGTAGCAGTCGTTAACAATGTGTTGCAAATACTATAATATGTACAGTTTGACCATATATTTTAATACAGTATGGTTCAAAAACACAATAGTACCCTACTTACTATAACTTATTGTAGTTTTTTTTCCACGTTGATAAATAGTAAGCTCAAGTTCAGTTAGGAGTTGTTTACTAACTTCCTTAAAGAAGTCATGCCAAGATAACTCACGCCAAGAAAGAGGAAAAGAAAGTATTTGTGCATTTGAAAAACATTTCAACCTAAGGTTTCTTACACTTCATTTATATTTCATGAGTTCCCAGAAAGCAACTGTAAATAATAAAAGTGCTACTTAATCTTTGATATGATTAACTAAACCCACAAATACAACATTAAAAGGCACAAAACAACTAAAACGAAAGACTTTGGTGTAAATAATAAATGTAATAAACACTCACTCTGTCTGTGCAGCCACCCGCTCTTCACAAACGCCATCCTCTAGGAAACTCACAAATCTAAAACAACAAAACAATTCACTTAAAACATGCTCTACATATATATTAAAACTCATATATGTGTAAATATCGCCTATGTTTTACATTAATGTTAATTTCACGGTCGAACTTCGACTCTTAGTTGCAGAGTTAACGTTAGCTTTGCGTTTGCGGCGCCTTTACGCTAAAAAAAATGACGACAAACCGACACAATTAACACCCCAAGGCTTTTGAATACAACATTAAACATATGTAAACACTGAGCTTGTAACAAATATGTTGCATTAGCTGTTTACAAGTGTAAATGTACCCTCTTTCGCTGTGTTGTCGTTTGTATGCGCGACTAGCAGAGTGACATCAGCAGCATCTCCGCTCAGCTGACGCCTTTGTCACTGTATCAGATGATCAACTCGACTTTTATTAAGCTTTCCTAAGACTTTTATCAAGTTTATATAGCGCGTTTTGATGTGATTTCAAAACAAATTGAGTTAAAAGGTGTGAACGTGAAAGTTATCTTAAATTAACATTTAAGGTTATTTTGATCATTTTTTCAATAGTGTTTTCGAAATAAACATGATGCAGCTATTAAAAAGTTACAGAAATAAAATACATATATATTATTATTAAAATTTACAATAAATTAAATTTAACATTGTTTATTTTGTTATAAACTATAATACATAATCTATTTACCTATTATAAACATTGACAAACCTTTAATGCATAATATAATATAATATAATATAATATAATATAATATAATATAATATAATATAATATATTCATTAATTAATTTTCTTGTCGGCTTAGTCCCTTTAATAATCCGGGGTAGCCACAGCGGAATGAACCGCCAACTTATCCAGCACGTTTTTACGCAGCGGATACCCTTCCAGCCGCAACCCAACTCTGGAAAACATCCACACACACACACACACACATAGACATACACACACACCTTCTTGCAGTGAGGCGACAGCACTACCTGCGCCAATGCTTCGCCCCTAATATAATATAATATAATATAATATAATATAATATAATATAATATAATATAATATAATATAATATAATATAGTATAATATAATATAATATAATATAATATAATATAATATAATATAATATAATAAAATATAATATAATATAATATAATATAATATAATATAATATAATATAATATAATATAATATAATATATTAGTGCACATTTATCTATGATATAGTTATATATATATATATATAATTACATATTACATGTTTTTCCAGGGATGGATTGAAGCACTAGGCAAGGTAAGCAGCCGCTTAGGGCCCCAGGAAATCTGAGGGCCCCCAAATAAATACCTAGAAGCAAAAATTATAACTAAATTATATATATGGCATTGTTTTCTATCATATTTTGTACAGTGAGGCTCTAAACATTTTAATTTGTGTCCCCCACCTTCAATCTTGGACCAGTCCAGCAGTCAAATCAGTAAAGATTTAGTTTTAAATGCGAAATAGCTCTTTTAAGTTTTAGTTGTGAATTCGTGTTAAGAAAACAAATAATTTCAAAGGTTTTAGAAGATGTTATGCTTTACATGCAGGGGCGGATTTAACCAATAAGCAAGGTAAGCCCAGGACATCTGAGGGCCCCAAGAAAATATCTAGAAGTGTCAATTATACCTATAAACTAAATATAACATCGTTTTCTATCATATTTTGTATATGAGTCAAACAAATAAATTTTTTACATCATTAAATATAATTTAATAAACAATTACACATAATATTTTTATAATAATGTTATATTATGTAGATATAATATAAAATATTTATAATTAAAATAAAATATCCACCACTGGAGCAATCCAGCTCTCAAATTTGTAAAATATATATATATTTTTAGTACTCTTTGTTGTAAATTCGTTTTAAGAAAACGCATCATTTAAAATGTAGAGCTTGCATTAAGATAAAACGTAGAAAAGAAGATTGAGTGACATAAAAAAAACAGCTAAATAAATAAAATTAAATAAAAGTAGAAAGAGTGCATTTCAGGACCTGGGCCCCAGGGCTGGAGTTGCTTAGGGCCCCCAAATCACCAAATCCACCCCTGTTTACATGTTATTATTATTTTGCATTAAGATATGTAGAATGTAGAAAAGGATGTAGAAAAGTAGATTGAGTGATATAAGTATAAATCTTATTTTAAAAAAGTAAAATTTATATAAATATATAAAAAATCTAGTACAAAAGTTGCATTTTAATACTTTTGGGCCTCATAGCTGGATTTGCTTAGGCCCCCAAAATCACTAAATCGCCCCTGAGTATGTCTATATAAAATATTTTATTATTATAATTTAATATAATTAGTAGGCTACATATCTTCATGCTTTATTAAAAGCATAATTGTTAACATTTGTAACAGACTGAAATGTTGCAACAAACAGTTGAAATATCCAATTGTAGTGTCAATAATTTCAAAGTAACAACCACATGAACACATTTCACTTGTTATTGTTCGATGTCACCACTAGATAGAGCAGTTTTACTGGAAACTGAGTGCATTTACCCTGCAATTAGAAAAAACATGCATTACTATAAAATTTATGCACATAAACCCTTACAGATTGTCTATTGTCTATTAAATAACACACACACAAGATATGTATATCTATATACATATATATATATATGAGGACCTGTGTCTACTATAGTATCTACTATAGTAATGTATGCAGTATTGTATTGAGCATAAGCCTTATCCAGCTCATGTGTTCCCCAGTGACCTTTCCCACTGTCAGCTTAGTGAATGATGATCCAAACCAATTCATACTCAACTGCTGAACTGCTGAAGAACACAGTTTATTTATAGTTAATGAAGCAAAACTGAATTCACATTATTTCTGCATTCACACTTGCATACTGGTTTGTGATGCAGTTTAGGTTTCAGAAGATCAAGGGTTAAGTGCAATATTACAGCTAGTCTTTTAAAATGTATATATATTTTGTAGTTTTTTTTAAACAATGCACAAAAATGACATTTGTAGAAATGAAAATACAAAAGTTTTATTTTAAAAATATTGAAATACATTTCTAGACTGAATGGAAGTCAGTTGGGTGAAATAATCTCATCTGAGCCTCATTCAGTCTCAGTGGGCTGGCAGATTGGAGTGATTTACGCAACAATATCCCGCCAGTGGTTGGCTGTTGCGGATTTTGTTTTGTCTTAATCTTTGTGCAGATTAACCAACCGAACCAATTGTGCTTCTGCACAGTACTAGAGAACTAGTGAACTCAAAACTGAGTCCCTGCACACTTCATCTTGCTCTCGAGGAAGTATACAGTAAATACATTTGCTCATCTGAAAACTGATTTTTGTATGGATATTATGATGGTCGGCTGTGCACATGACTGCAGTCACTGACAGGTAAATGTCACAGAAGATTACATTCATTAGTGCTTGTGCTGTTTAGTATTATTGTGAACAAATGTAGATAATGTCCTGTAGCATGTTTTACAGTATTATGTACACTGTAAAAAATTTCCAGGTTTTCACAACAAGTTACTGTAATTTTTCACAGTAAATTACATTAGTATCCTTTCACAGTATTTAACTGAAAAATTCACAGTAATATGTTGTATTCATAATTTTATTGTGAAATTACGGCAGGTAGCATGATTACAGCAAATTACTGTGAAAAGGGCTATATCTTTTGCACGTTAGTTATAGAAATTCAAACCTTTTTTAACTCAACGTAGAAATTAATACAAATGAACTTTTAACAGATAATAACAGAATGTTATAGCCCCCAAAACGATTTGGTTAACAACATCTTTTTGATTGTACTGCACCTTTATTTAATTTTATACAGTTAACATAAAATAGGATATAATATTTAATGAACATAACTGTGTGCTTAGCCAAAACATAATAAACTGGAATAAAAAGTAATTAATTAATGAAACCAAAGACTGTTAAACAGCCAACAATTATTTCAATGTCAGGGTAAATGTCTGCTTTAGACGGTTTCATGAGTATTGGGCACCTGTCATCGCCTGGAGGTCACTAATCTCAGAATTAAATATATATATATAAATTATTATTTTTTTATCTATATAAATAAACCACAGATTAGAGTTTTAAACAACTACATTCTAGCATGAAAAACAGTTAAAACTTCATTTTCGGACGCATATAGAGCCATCGAAGACGAAGCAATTGTCCCAATGTCTAGCCTGAAGACAGGCGCCTCTCGGCGGATACATGAGTAATGAGCGCCGTTACCGCCTGGAGGTCATAGATCTCCGCTACAGGCAAAACACACTTAAAATTACACACAATCTTTACTAACAGTCCACAGATTTGAGTTTTGAAGAACTACATTCTCGCATGAAAAAGTGTTAAAACTTTATTTCATTACATATTACAAGCAATATTTATAATATTATGTGCCTTCTCATCCACCATTACAGCTTGATGCAGCTTGGTGCGAAATGAATCCTGGGAGGAAAAAATAATAATTCTCAATACACTCCAAACGAACTTTATTCTTATTGTTAAAGTCAGAGATATGTAATATTTTGAATGGCGAAGAAAATAATTAACTTTATATTTCAATCAATATATTACTCTTGCACTGCTTCGGTTCAGGACTCGTGTGACATTGAATCAGATTCAGATATTTTATCAGACGTGTTCATGAGCTCGAAGTGATCAACAAGCAATTCGTGTACAAGCAGTACACGAACCATGCAATATGATGAAATATTAATGAATTATATGTTTGCGTCTTACAATATTATACAAAACGGAATCGTTTTCAGGCGAATTCGACTCTTTACTGTTCACTTAAAGGAGCCGAATTCGACTCTTTACTGTTCACTTAAAGGAGCCGATTCATTGAACAGAACTGACTCGACTCGACCGCAAACAAGCGCCATCACCACAGACAACGCCGTCGTCTCTTCACCCAACGGATTCATCCTCGGTAAGTGTTAAAATATGACTTTTGTCCGTTAAATGATTGTTGTATGTGTATTTCTGTATAGTGCGTGTCATTTAACAGGAATTTACCGAGTACTTTAGTTGTACTCGCACGGACAGGGTTTAAGCGCGCCTTTTTTTAAAGCAAGAAATTAACGACGCCAGATGGTGATTGTAGTGTTTTCTGAGGTATTAGCATAACGTTAACGTTAGTTCCTGAAAAAAGAAAGGGAATTTTCTTTAATTAACTTCTTGTTAACTGCATTTTCTGTTTCAGTACAAGACTGAAGTAAAGGTGAAATGACTATAACGTTAAGGTAAGCTCTGACCTTCTCTTAAGTTAACGTTACGGTTAGTCACCATCATGTACGTTAATTTTGTTCACTGTAACGTTAACGTTAAGTTAGTTAAATAAACTAAACTCATTATGAAACAAGTCTTAACTGTTTTATTAAATGAGGCTTATAATACAATTCAGTTGTATTCTTTTAAACTAACACTAACACAGTACATATTGTATATTTCTCACTGGTGTTAATGCAGTGCTAACATTTACTAATGAGAACTAATTGTATATTGTCACTAACTGTAGATTTTATTTTTTGGTGTTCAGGTGTACCTGATAATAGCTAAAGTGTGAGGTGAGTGTAAATTCTGAGCACACAAATATAACCTAAATTCATTATCACAATCTAAACCTATATATATATATAGAGTGTGTGCGTGTGTTAGGTTGAGTCTTATTCTACTCTTATTATATTCAAATTTTTTTGCAGCTACAGCCACTGATGTTGAAACACTGATGCTACCAATCAACCCTCGCTTGATTATTAAAGGTAATGTTGATGCCTTCCTCATTTTTATTAGATTTTTAAATGTCAGGTTTTTCACAGATTTGTTGTGAGCAGTTTCTTGTACAAACTCTTTTTCTTCTTCCAGAAGTTCCACCAGTACCTCCAGTAGTAGTAAATATTAGACAAAGATTTTTTTAAACTATAGTTTTTATTTTTATTAGCAATTTTACTGGGCATGTGTGTTTGTTTGCTTGGTTTTTAATAGGCAGAGCATGGAATGTCAACTTTGTTTCTACAAAAAAATTTAATTATTCACAAACACCTCTAATTTAGTCCTTCTTTCCCCCTTTTAGTCTTATTCCTTGGAGGGTCGAGTGGTCATGGGACCTCACCTGGATTTCACAACTGACTTTGAATCTGGTCTGAAACTGAAGTATACTGAAGTTGCCTTTTGCACTCTGGAATTTAAGGTAATGTCTACAATAAATATTGTAACTGAGGGCTTGTTTTGGGGGGGTTAAACAAGGAATGTATAGGAGCACAAGTCATGACTCCCCTTGTCCCCTTGTTATAAAGGGCCGTGTTGCAGACACAAATTGTTTGTCTGTGCTGGAGACCAGAGGGGAAGCTGTCTTTAAAAGGATGGGGCTCTTATACCATATGTGAAGTTACCTATTCAGGTGAGTGGATTACATACAAGTCATTGCAAATGCATAAATAGTGGGAAATTTTTACTGGGAAGCACAAATTAAGTGAAACTCAAAAAACGTTGAAAAATATTTGGAATATTTGCAAAAAACTTGATTGAAATGAATACAACACAAGTGCTGTATCACTTCAATCAAATTTTTTGCAAAATTTTCCTAATATTTAAATCATAAAAAATTAGCTTGATGCAAGAAACATCCTGCTAGTATTCAAGAGCAAACGCTGTGATGCATGTGTTAACTTTGCAATAAGTGTGAACCCAGCATTAGATTATAGTCTGTAAACAGAAGATGTAAATCAAATCAACTGTTTTAAAATGCTCTGCCTAGGTCATTAAAACCACTATTTGTTGTTGGACTGTTCTTGATTGTGTGTTTGTGATGGAAATGTTTTTCAGATGTTTTTGTTTAAATGATTGCAGTTCGACTGAGCTACAGTATTGTCAGCATGTTCAAACTGAGCTAACAGTAATTTTGCTCTGTAGTGCAGCAGTAGTGTCCCAGTAGTGTTGTATGAAGCTAACTGTTTGTCTGCCCTTTTGCTTATAGGTGCTTTTTGGGCACCAGTTTGGAGATGGGAGACAGACGAAGTCAAAGAAGCAGAGAAGACACATCAACCAGCAAGTGTGTAAAATTATCAGGAAAATGATTGACCTTGAATAGACGACTGCCTAATTTAGCAAGAAGTTTTGTCTCTCTCTCTCTCATGTGTATATATATATATATATATATATATATATATATATATATATATATATATATATATATATATATATATATAATGAGAGACAGAGAGAGCGCACTCTGAAGCACTGCTTTTTATATGTATGCTACATATGATGTCAGATTTTTTTATGAATATGTTCTTATAGTATTTTTTGAGGCTTCACCTTCACCTTTTGAAAGTTTTCTGAAATGTTTACACAGATGTCATTAAGCTGTTAAATAAATCTGTAAAATGTATGTGTGTTTGTTTTTATTTTGATTTTAGAGTCTTCTCAGATCACCCAAAAATGAAGATTCGGTCGTCATTTACGCATCCTCAGGTTGTTTGGACACAAAGAGGATTATTTGATATTTTTATTCCTGTGTTTAACAAAAAAACATTTTTAACAGAGCTGGAACAACCTGAGGGTGAGTAAATCAAGATAGAATGTTCATTTTTGTTTGACCTAAAATTGCTTTGAAATTTTACAGCACCAAACTGTTAAATTACAGTAATCCGGGATATAATTGTAACTTTACAGTTAAATCAGGTATTTAAACTGCAACCTACTGCTAAATCACAGTAATCGTTTTGCAAATTCACAGTAAAATATAGTTAATTCTACAAGATAATACTGTGAAATCACAGTAACAGACTTTATTATCTACTGTAAAGTTACAATATATGGTTGTAATTTCACAATAATTTAATGTGACAAAACCACAGTAAATTACTGTGAACTACCTCACAATAATTTACTGTGAATTTACATACAGTAATTTACTGTGAAAGTAATGCAATTATTAGCCAGTAATTTACTGTGAATTTAAGGTCAAATTTTTTACAGTGTAGATCAAATAAATATTACCTAAATTATATTCAAGTTTGTGATTATTATTTATTCAGTTTTTTCGGTTTATTTATAAAACCTAATTAGTACACTGCTCATAATTTAGTACAATTTATAATATAACATTTTATTTTAATTAAACATTTTTATATTTGATATGTTTGTCTTCGTGTACAATTTTGTTTGCAAAGTTTCAATAGTTTGAAATAAGTAGCAAGTTTCAATGCAAAAATTAATGAATAAATAATTATCAGAATAGATAAATGGTTCAAAATGATATGGTATATAATATAAAATACTCAAGCTAATTTACCTGAAAATATTTAAAATGTTATAAATCTACTTTTTACATAACTCTGCATATGTACAACTAACTAATGGTGTGTATTATATTATATCATATTATATTATATAGGACAGTTTGTGTAATATATACTTTATATCTATATATGAGCAATATCACATAGTGCCATATATTGCTGTATATCCAACACAATCTCAAGCCAATTTGTCACTTTTTGATTTAGTGGCTAAGTTGTATGAATTTGTACGATCTAATTCATATAATTTAGTACGATTTGCTCATCACCCAATGAGGGTTGGGGTTAGGTGCCACACCTCCTTTTTAAAATCGTACATTTTTGAACAACTGAACTCGTACGAATTTGTACGAATTAGCCCCTAAACTGACAAAACATAAAAAACTTATGTTTCCTCGTGAGATCAGACTAGTGTGTGTTGACTTGAGGCTGCAGACCGAGTGCCCACCAGTGCCGATATTCAGCCATATTGCACTGCTACAAGTGTGATATTGGGTTCATATAACAGTTTGACGGTACAATCGAGTATATAAAAAAGAATATCAAAAACGAAGAGTCTAAAAATCCTTTTGTATGAAGAACTACTTTCTTCTGCCATTCCTTCAAATTTGCAGCTGACGTCAGAACAGCAGAAACCACTGCTACTTCACACACACACGTCACTTTAGAGCTAGTGTTTGAATGATTCTTTAGCATAATGTCTAAATTGATGGCAAAACAGGTGATTTTGCTCACATTTTCAGATTGTAAGGCTGAACAGCATGAAATGCCATCAGTCTAGAGAGATTTCCCAGTATTTCTCTGTTGCAATCAGGATATCACAATAATTAAACCAGAAAAAGCCAAGGCCAAATAAACACTAAAAGATTAACATTGTATAAAAACAGCAATACAAAATACAAAAGAGAGAGATCGACTTAGAGTGTTACTTAAATGTTTTATAATGATTTTATCAGCTGTAGTTTGAAATTTACCAAGTTTTTCTTCTCTAAGGACTTATTATGAGATCTCTGTCGCCATCTTGTGACAGAATGTCAACCGTCTGTGCTCGGCTCAGTATGACATGCTAATGGCTGCTGATGCGCTGAATTTCTGAAATTATAAATATTTAAAATAGGCATCATTCTTATAAATAAATTGCATAGTTGCAATCTTAACAACTACATCCTAATCTAAAAATCAAAACAAAAGTATATTATGTTGTCCAACAGCTGCAATATTTGTCAAACTGTAGTGAGTTGTTTAGTCCCTCTTGTATGGGTGGAGTAATACACAAAAGCGAAGAGGATGTACAAGTGCTGATATTTCTTTAGTATCTAACACTTATCAGCCAATCAGAATCGAGAACCAGGCAGAACTTTTTTTTTAAATGGTTTCAATAACAGTTAACAATAAATTGCAGAAACCTGGAACATTAGAAAAAAATTGAGATGTTGTTAGAGTCTGCATTATACAATTTAAAGAATAAAAATAAGAAAGAAAAACAAAAAATTAAACAAATAAAATAATAATAATAATAATAAAGAAATAAAATTAAAAAACAGAGACCAGAGGGGAAATTATATAAGGTTATACAAGCCATTTTTTTACTTTTAAAAGACTTTTTGTTTTTTATGCCCACTAAATACAAAATATATGACATACAGTCAATTAAAAAAATTATAATAAAAAATAAATGATAATAAAAAAATAACCAAAATGAGATTTTTTCCCCTAAAATTTACTTTTGTGAATTAAAAACTTACCCATTACAATAAAAAGATTAACAATGTACAGAATGCAAGATTTGGAGTTGTAACAAAAGAAAATTATGTCAAAAGTATTTAAACAAATATCAACATTTCCCTTTTCTGAGAGATAGATACATAGTTCTGTCCAAAATAATTTCACACAAGTACATTCACAAAAAAGGTGAATGTTTTTTTCCAAATCACAAAAAGTACATTTGTTTTCAATATCTATCATATATTTACTAAGTATTACAAGGATAACATCTATGTAATATTTTATTTGTCATTTATTTTACTTTGTTTGTTAGCAAATATTTATGTGGAAGATTCCAAGTGACGTCCCGATTTATGTTATATCTGGCCAGATGGTTAAAATTCTGCATCATACAATTAGAAAAATTATCATCAACTATTGATATCCCTTCTATTGAGATTGGGTTGTTTGGTAAATTAAAAGTGTGTAGTCCTTTCAATAAAGTTTTTAAACCATTGGGAATGGCATTATCCAGGCAGAACTGTTGTGTGTGTGTGTGTGTGTACAATTAATTTGTTACTAACTGTGCATTTTTAATTATAATACAATAATTTCAATGTTATAAAAGTATATATATATTTATTATTTAATATATTATATAATATTTTACATAGTTATAAAAAAATGTATTTTGCATTTAAAATATAATAAAAATATGCCTATGGGTGTTCCCTGCAACAGACAAAACGAAAGTACTAAAAATATCGTTCATATATCATCATTTCGCCCTGGTGAACCTCCAGGCTCTCTTCAGCATCCAGTAACAGTTGTTGATTTGGTGCATACAAGGACTCGGTGAACGTGATAAACGATTCAAAACTCAGATAAGCACTTTTCCTTAAAACAGCGATCAAGCATACATTTTATGGGTTACTTCTCGCTACAGGCAGGCAGAGCTGGGTGTGTTAACACAAATAAAAAGGTCTATTCATATTTTTTGTCTTGCAGTTAATGCGTCCTTGGACCCAACCGTGCATGAAGTTCAAGACCCAACCCAGTGCTCTCTATTACATCTGGCTCTGCTTCAGAACTGGCCCCAGAACAGAACAAATAAACACGTATGAAGTCTGACTGACTACAAAATGGTGTCTACATGTTTTAAAAAAACAAAATCAAACTCGAGAGATGTCTAGCTTATTAAACCCTAAAACGTGCAGGAATCAGCACAATCAACAAAGGAAATTCCTTGGCAGCGGGAATATGTGTCTGGAGACTCGCGAGCTTCCTCTCCTCAGTGTTTAAAAACTCCTTTCCTCCCAAATTCAAGGGTAGGATTACAACTACTTGCACTCGCGGGCGGAGCTGACGCGCTTCTCCACCAATAGGAGCGCTCGACAGGTCAGTTCGTCTCCAAGGTGGTCACGACTGTCTTCATAGCAACGTCGCTATCTTTCCACATGTATAATCCAGTTTAACAGCTGGAGGAGTGTGCGGGAGCCAGTATGTTTTAAATGCAGATGTTTAGTGGGCCAAATTTGAAGTGGGAGTGTGCTGTTTGTACGTTTGAGTGGGCCAAAACAGCTGGAGAGAGAGAGGGAGAGGGAGAGTGAGAGGGAGAGGGAGAGGGAAGATTTGGGACTCGCAAAACTGAAAGCAGAATCTAGAGCAAAATGGGATTTGACTGGCTGTTTTTGCTGACTCCTTGTAACCGAGTATTATTATTTTTACAACAATAAAAGTAAATCTAAGAGCTAATGTGGATGTTGTGGAGGATAGACAGCAGAAGGACGAAGGAGGTAAGGATTTTGAAGAAGAGTTTTGTTTGTTTTACGTTAGTTGAGAGCCGTGGCGTGATTTGTCAGATTTAACGAACAGCTTTCGCCGTCTTTAAAAGTTGTTTGCTAAGCTTTCGTTGGCATTTTGTTTTCCTGACCTGTGCTTCTGTTAGCCTTGGTGTTAAATAAATGTCGGATGAGAGAGAAGGGGTCCCGCGCGAGATGACTGTTTTCATTGCTTGTTGGGCTTTGGGACCCCTGTGTATTTGAGGGTCAACACTTAAAACCCCATGTGGTGACAAGTGATTTTAGGCTGATGTGATTGACCTGAGCTCAAAGTGAGACATTAAGAAAGCACCAGGGATGAGTTTTTTTTTTCTTTTTCTTTTTAAGCTAGCCATTCCTTTGAAATAGTCTCATTTCCTGTAGTTTTTTCCATCAATGACAGATTTTGTTATTTAAGATGTACTGGAATATTCAGGCTCTTTATAATAAAAAAGTTATATTGTTTAGAAATAATAATGAAAATTTCTATAAAATATTTTTTGATTTTGTTTTCTTTTTTATATGATTTACTCTAAGATATTTTGACGCTCTTTGTGAGTGTAACCCATAGACTGTAAAATATAACCTAGAAAAGAATTTGGGATACTGAGCTAGGCATGGGTTGCTGACTTTGTGATAACCTTGGATAAAAATATCAAGGTATTGTGATTACTGCTCTAAAATATATTCTTCTTAAATGTATGGGTAAAAAATAAAACTTTTCTCCCTTTTAAAGACAGAATGTTTTATTTTGAGAAACATTGAAAGTATTTTGAAACAGTAAACATGTCAGGCTAAATGAATTATTGACTTCTGCTGTCTTCATTTGTTTCAAAAACACAGAATTTGAAACGGCATCTTTTCTGCTGGAGAGGTTGTTCCCCTAAAAACAAAAACAAAAAAACATGAATAAAAAATCTTACAAATACCTTTGGAACAGTATTGCAGATTTTTTATTTTTTTTTGCAGTTTTGAAACTTTTCCTTGTATACCTTACAAACGGTTATCGTTCCATGTTCATACTGAGCATTACGGTTGTTTTGTCTTCATTACATGAGCATAATAATTTCATTTATTCATTCAATCAAAACTTTTCTAGCTAATTTTTTAAAGGATCTATTTATCAGATTTTTGTGACAGTGATCAGACAAAAGTAAAATAAAATGACAGTACAAGTAGAAAACATAATATATAACAGTACAAAATTAATAAAAAAAATAGATAAATAAACCACATTTTAACCCTCATATTGTGCAACACGGTATATAATGTGCATAAACAATTTATGATGTGCATTCATATCACAAATTTAGCATATAAACAGGTACCAAAAGTTGAGGTTGGCAGCATGGTGTATTAGGTAAAATAAATAATGATAATAATAATAAAAGAAAAAAGAAAAGAAAAAATTAAAATAGAGAAAAGAGAAAATATATTTTATGTCAAGAAAGAGTTGTATGCTTGTGCTATAGTACTTATTTGGATTGTACAGACTAAAGGCATATGCACACTGCTTTTTGCTCGCATTTTCCATCAGTGTTTATCGCCTCGTGACTAAATAAAAGGCGCCAATGTGGTCGTGCACACCAACGCGCAAAACGCCAGGCATAAAAGCATAATTTTTAAAGAAACGCCTCATGCTAGTTTTTTTTTCTTTTTTAACGCACCGCGTCAAAACCTTCTCCACCAATCAGATTGGCACTTTTGTTCAGTGCACGAAGCTGCTGAAGTTACAGTAAACTCATAGTAATATAAAATTCTTATTTTTTAGTTTTATGCTTGACTAAATTGCTGTGGGAAATAGTTTTTTAATTTAATATTTTAACTTTTCCGCCCTCAATGATAAGAGATTTAATTTGCCAATACATGATCTTTGGGTGCATAACTGTAATTTGTTATTTTAAAAAACATGGAAAAAATGAAGGAAATGCTTTTTTTAATTATATGGTGGGGAATATAAATTTTATATTAATATTTTTGTATATTATATTTATTTATATATTTATATTTATATTATATTATATTATATATATATATATATATATAAACCAAGTTCAGTCCAGTTACAAAAATAAAATTGAATTTAATTAAAAGTTGAAAGCTTTCAGATGTTAGTTTGATGACACCGTGCTTTGTGAAACAAAGATTAGAGGTTTAAAAGCATGATAGTGCATGAACGCTAAAAGGTGGATAATGTATCAACAAGCCCTACATTATTCTCAGAACAGGTTAGTGTGTTGTATCAGTTACTGGTGAAACTATTTGTTCTACATCAGTGGCGTTAGTAGAGTAGAAACTTATGTGACACACTTTAACAATCATTGCTTTCTCTCAGACTTTGGAAAATCCAGTTTCAATGCCACAGTGACATGCAAGCAGTTGCTTGTGACTTAAAAACATATTTTGTATAGCTGTGGTCAAGCTTTGGCCAAAGCCGTTTGGAAAGAATGATAGACGCAGAACTCTTTTTGTCAGCAGAAAGTGATTTATCAAAATTTGGCTGAATGAAGAATGTGCTTTCCACTGATCTGAGGACAGTTAAACCCTATGTGGTTACTAATGGGCTTAAAAAGATTCTTCGATTTCAAATACTGTATATCATACAGTAAGTGATACTAGTTTGCAGTGCACTATTTTTGTGTCTCTCAAAAATGTGCACTATGTCTCTCAAAAATGCAAATGCACCAATTAAATACTTTATAAGCATTTTTGACAAGTTAAAAATCTTTAAGAAAATATTACTTAAAAATACTTAAGAAAAATCTTTAAGAAAAAATACTTAAGAAGAAATACTTAAGACTCATTTCTCAGATGTTGTTAACAAGTTTCTTTTACAAGACCAAGTTTTTTTCATAAGTTTATCCAGCAGCAATAATAGTAATTTAAAAAGTCTAATTTGTATCATCATTGCACAAATACAAAATTTTCTTTAAAAATTGGTCTTATATTTAATGTACTGTTACTGCTAAAGAAAGTCTATCTTTCTATTTTGTTTAATAGAAAATTAGTCGTCCATATAGGGTGTTAAAAGGAATTTTCATAAATAAATATCAACTATAAGTAAATTCACAATGTGCACAAAATCTGCATATATAAGTTTTTTAGAAACAATTTATTATTCACCAAAATTTTTGCAAAACTGTGACAGCATTTGATTAATTTTCTCCGTTAAATTTAAGTTACAAATTTTAACTCAATGGTTGGGATTGTCCATATTTGACCCAAAATTGGGTTATGACAACCCAGCCTTTTTTATGGTGTTTGGAGATAATTTGGCCATTTTTTTCATGCAAATTACTAACATAATGCAGTATCTCATTATGCTACTCCAAATCTGTTAATATTAAACTAACGATTTGAAGAAAATCATGTGCATGTGGATGCCTTGTGTATTATGTGACAACTGCAGCATTTACTGTAATTTCAAGATGACAAACTTTCTACTTGCTTGCGTTCTTGCAATAGAAATGATGCATTTCGTGACACTATCAGTGCCTAAACAATCTTGGCAGGGTGGTTCACATGGTACAGTTGTCATATCCAAAAAGTTGTAGCTCTCAGAAAATTCTCACATCGCAAGCATTCGAACATATGTTCATATGAATAATCCCAGTAATTAGTCAATGATTGTCTCTTAATGGAGTCTCTATCCCTCCCCTCAGCCACCATAATGTTCAACTGACTCCCTGATTCAACCATGGAGGACGCAGTGCCCTCTGAGGATGCTGAACCTCTGACTGCATCCTCCAAAAACACAGACATCCATGATGCGGAGCCAGAGGATGGGCGTCCTTCCAGCACTAGCCCGGAGCCTGGCTCCACATCCTTTCCCTCTAATCAGCAAACTCATGGCTCTGCCGTATCAGCCCTGCAGTCCAAAGTCAAGGCCCTCTCAGAACGCAAAGTTGTCTGGAAAGAACCTGGAAGCAAGAACCAGGACAAGTGGGTGGTTCCTGGGACCTTCATGCTGGGATACGCCCTCACAGATGCTTGGGGCTCCAGCAGCAGCGATGAAGACGGTGAACCTCGCAAACCCTTGATGTTCCTCACCCGAGACTCCAATCCAGAACTTGAATATGATCCCATCTCTTCTGAAGCCTTCCTGGCAGTTCCCCGTGGCCTTGGAGAAGGAGCGAGTCTGGAGAACCTCTCGAATGATGCTTGCGGAGCACAAGATGACTCTTCAACATCCCATAAACCTTGGATGCCACCAAAGTATTTCTGGAGGTCCATTAGACAAGAGAAGTCGGTTCCAAATGGAGATGTTCCGGTGGGGAAAGATGGAGGAAGCTTACCTTGGGCTGGTGGAGCCAAAATGCAAAAGTTTCCAAGGGAACTTCAAAGGTCTGACAGTCTGGAGAGTCACCTGCGCAAGTACAATCATGGTGAGGTGGGACAGAGTGGACTGTGGAGAGCCGACAGCTTGGAGAGCATGTGCAGCAATGGAAGCTCCCTGTCTCTGGCCGAGAGAGTCGAGATGAACCGTGGACTTCTTAAACAGATGCTGCAGAAAGCCCAGAACAAAGATCACATACCAGGACAGAGGCTCGAGGACCAGGCACACATTGGTGGTAAAGGTAAGGAAATGTAACACATTGGTTCAATGCAGTTTTTTGTCTGTCTGAAATATGTTTAAACTGCAGTTATGAAATGGATAGTTCCAGTCCTGATTGGTTGAGCTGTGTTTAAAATTCAAATTACTCTATAAAATAGACTCAAAAAATACAGGTAGATAGACCTTGTCATTGATTGATTGTTTCATTTTCCTTCGGTTCAGTCCCTGATTTATCAAGGGTCGCCACAGTGGAATGAATCGCCAACATTCCAGCATATGTTTTACGCAGCAGATGCCCTTCCACTCGCAACCCAGTTCTAGGAAACATCCATGCACGTCCACATATACTCACACGCATACACTACAGCTAATTTAGTGTATTTAATTCACCTATATCATATGTCTTTAGATTGTGGGGAAAATCGTAGCACCAGGAGGAAACCCACATAAACATGGGGAGAACATGCAAACACTACACAGAGTCGCCAACTGGCCCAGACGGGCCTCGAACCAGTGACCTTCTTGCTGTGAGACGACAGTGCTAACCACTGCGCCACCGTGCCGCAGACCTTGTTATTTTTAAAGCTATTTCAGATTGTGTGAAGGTGTGAGAGAAAGAAGGTGCGACTCCCCCTCAAAAAGATTTTAGATATTAATAATTCAGGATATTTCTAAAAACAAAATCTATAGATACTTTCACAATTTCATCCACAAAAAATCCTAAAATTCCAATGATTAATACATTGTAATTTACATGTGATTAATTGCTAAAATAAACTTTTGGAAACAATGCAAAGTCTTGTGTATTGAAAGCAACATTTGCTATTTTGGTGAATGAAGATAGTTTTGACAACACTGACCTTTGTACATAAATCTTTTCAAAAATAAAAAGAAGTTAAAAAAATTGTATGTCCAGTTAAAGTAAAAATATTGTACAGTTAAAGTAGCCTTGCGAAATATATATATTTTTAAAATCATATATAAACTTAATTATAAATACTTATTTTGATAGAATAATAATAAATAATAAAATAATAAAAACAATAATACTTTTTTGGGCACTCAAACTCAGGTCACTGTTAGCACTGTAGCACTATGTGACACTAACTGCAAGGCTATTGGCACAACAATAAATATTTTAAAAAATAAAAGATAACAATGGTTAGGGGTGTGCGATTAATCGAAAATTGTGATTGCGATTATTTAATTGCAAGACGCTGCAATATAAAACATATGTATATATGTAAAAAAAGAATAATGAATAACATCTGAAGTGAAGTGCTTCAAAACCAGTCCGCTATGCTTCAGAAAATGAAACATGCTAGACTTTCTGCGAGGCATCGCAGATATGATAGTGGTTGTCGTGAACTATGCCACATTACATAAGAAGAAATAATTGAATCTTGTGTCACGATGTCCATTTATCATATACGACTCCCCAAGACACCCTACGTCAAGGAAATCATGCCGAAATCGTGTGATCTTACTGGGGCTTTAGAACTAACCAATTGAGTGAGCACACATTTGTTTTGCCCAATCAGAATTGCGCAACTAAACTATCCTCACAATAAAAAAAAGAAAACAAACAGGAAAGGGCTGACAAGTGGGATTATGGGACCTGCTGCTTTAGAGGCATTTATGGACTAAGTAATATCAAAGACAAACAGCATAATAATATGGGAATATTTTGGTTTCAAAGTCACAGATATCGAACAAAAACAGTTCATTTTTGCGCAGAATTGTTGCCAATGCTTACAGTTTATTGAGCTGAAGCTTGAATTAAATTAAAATCAGTTTAAAGCTTGGGTTAATTCATAAATCAAATCACAATATCGGTGAAAAAACAAAAACAAATCGCAATTAGATATTTTCCCCAAATCGCACAACCCCAATAATGGTTAAAGATGACTACATTACTAATTTTTACTGGATAGTGACACTACAGGAAAAATCTAAATAAAATCAAAATACAACCTTTTTTAAATATGGTTGAAAATGTTTTCAGAACTGTATCAAATCAATACAAGCCTTTCATTAAGACCTGGCACACGTGTTTTTTCAAACTCGGCTCAAAATTGACTATCTTCTTTCTGGAAGCTGAGATGTTATCAGTCTTAACTGATGTAACGTCATGTGCGATTTCATGCGTAGCAGCGTTAATCCACAGCTATCAGACAAATGTGATGCGATGACATTGTCTCCTTTAGCACGTTTAAGGATTATATGCAATGGACGCACATGACCTCTCTAATGAAGCAGAGGTCATAGAGACGAGAGAGCTGGATAATCCAGATATGAGGGCACAGAAGGATAAGAATGAGAGTTACACTGATTATAAACAACTTATCGCGATAAAGGTTGTGAGATGAGAAAAAAAGTAGAGACCCTGCGGTGCATTTTTCCCCTCACTATAGAAACACCAGATGCTGACACTAACAAGATGACCTTGTCAAGAGAGATAAACAACTGCTTTCTTGGCTGTCAGCAAACACAGTTCATTCAAGTTGAAACGGATGATGCGCTGTAGTCATATTGTGGATAGTGTAGAGTTTTGGTCTTTTTGAAATGCAGGTCTGCTCAGTTCTGAAAGCATTTCATTAAATTTCATTGCATTATCCAAAAACCACTAGAACAGTTTTATATATTTTGCTGACTTGTATGCTTACATTGGCCTAAATGTTTTGAAGAATCCAGAGAAATAAACCATTGTAACTAGACACATAAACAATGTATTGTGTGGCCATGCTAATACGCTTACTTCACGCGGCTGCCATATTAAAACACGAAATAGGCTGCAGTGGGAAGAAACCCGGAAGTATAGGATCAGCACTGTAAACATTGCAACAACATGCTGTGGACCACAAACCTCCAGCTTTTTCTGCAATTTCAAAATGCAGAAATGGTGTAAACATCACTTTAATTTCATTCAGTTCAGTTTAATTTAAACAATTAAAAGCATATTAGGCATCAAACTAAATCACAATCTCTTTAAGAGTAATACGCTTAAATGTCCTCCTAGGCTTCAGTTCATGGCACCAGGTAAACACCTGGGCGCTTCCCTACTTCAGTCTATATAATCCAGTGAGCGAAAAAACAATGCAGTCCTCTGTAGCGCACCCTCATGTTGTCTGTAATAGTGTTGTCCCACTAACATTTAAGCGGGTTCTTAAACAGAGCTGATATGCCATAGTGTTCACCAGTGCTCAACAGAAATGACTGTGATTGGCCATGAAGGTCATTAGTTTACCGTTCTTCACCGAGTGCACACTCAGAGACACGGACACTGGAGCGTTTAAAAAGTCGCAAAGATCAGTCGAGTCATTAGCGGATCGCTCGTCTGTGTTTGCACTCAGTAAACATTGGTGAAGTGCAGTGAACTGATGACCTCCACTGCCAATCACAGTCATTTCTGTTGAAAACTGGTGAATACATTGGCAAATCGGTTGTGTTTAAGAACGCGCTCAACGTTGCTGAAATGTTAGCGAGAAATTGCCATTTTTTATTAATTTCTGTACTGAAATTCATTATCATGACAAGTCTAATATAGTGAACGATTCAGTTCATTAACTTGAGTTTCATAAATGTCATCTAAAATGTGTGTTTGGGAAAGAAAATGTTTGCTAACTAGTGCCATTTCCCTAACTTAGCTGAAAATGAGGTCCGATCATAGACTGTAAAATATATGGACGTAGTATCCGTGACGTCACCCATAGGTTTCTAAAGAGCGCAAAAGAAGCCACAAGTAGGCGCGGCCAACCGTCGCCATTTTGTTCGCGCGTCATCACACCCACGGCGGGATACCAAACAAGGGCAAAGAGGCGGAGAGTGAGCGGAGCTACAGACGCATGCTTCATTTTGCTTGGACCTGGTTCATACACCTGGTTTACTTTGGGAGAACGCTTAATACTTTATCACTTGTGACTCGTTTGTATTCTGACCACTTGTGCTTGCTTGTACACTATATCAATTAAGTGTTTAGTCTTTTAAAAACACTGCTGTAATACATTGAGCCACTAAACATTGTTCTTATGACGTTTCTCAACAGGAGGAAAACGCGAATTACATCCAAACACCTCAGATATAGTCTGTGTTAGTTAATGTAAGACTATTAATGAAATCCAGCATAACACTGTATGACAACGCTTCAGATGACTGTTCTAGAGCCTACAGCTAATCAATCCGTCAGATTCTGGAGTGCATTACAGCTCTAAATATAAATATAAACGATAAATGATCTTAAATAAATCAAATACATGTATAGAGATGGTATATAAGTGTATAACTTTACTCACATGGGAAACGGAGGCCACGTGAACGGTTTGTGAGCACAATTAAGTGCATTCAGCATGACATTCCATCAAATAATTGTAGGAAACAAGTCCAAAAGGCAGTCGACTGTGTAAAGCCACATAAAACAACACAGAAATACAATAAATATGCCGAGTTCAGTGGCTAATCTGCCGGATTCACTTGAGGTGACGTGACGGCGACCAACGAGACCTAGCTGTCACTCAAGTGACCACTCCCTTAATTATGCAAACTTAATATAACTTAATATAAAGGAAACGGATGAGTTATAAAAAAATTCACCCCCCTCACAGTTGTCATGAAGGGTAATATTAGCTGTATTAACCAAAATCTTTTTTTGTACCAGGCTGTAAACACCTTTTTTTCTGCTGTAAAGTTGGCCATTCTAACAGTGGGCTCAATTGAAATTTGCTCTGTTTTGGAGCAAGGAGCAGCTAAGACTAGCGGAATTTCGGATGAATTGCAGTTTTAGTTACTTCCGTATTGGCTTCCTGAGAGAGAGCGGGAGGTTGCCGCTTGGGTCCGATATCCTTTTTATTTTCACTATCCATTCAGAATGGACCTTCGGGTCATTCAGAAGGCAGTAAAGTGACAAATTGGTGTCAGTTTCTCTTCGCTCATAAGATATACAGCCAAGTACACAACGTTCCTGTATGACTCAAGCAAAACTTCCAAGTTTCTTCCCACCGCAGCCTCGATTTCACATTTAAAAAGGCCTCAAATTTTCAGTTTAGTTTGATAGAATACAGAAACACGATAGATGTATGACAAGACAGCAGTACTTCTCCATGTGATAATGACCAGAAGAGACTGAAGCAGTGGACTGTGCCATAAGAAATGCTTTCTATTGGTTAAGGTTGCCTTCCTATAATTTCTGACTTACAAAAAACAGAACAGTCAGACATAGTGTACAGCAAACATAAAGTTTTTAAACTACCAAACTGTAAAACCCAGCCTTTACAGAGACAAATGTGGGTATAGGTAGTAGTTAAATCCCTTGAATTGGATAATTTTTCCAAAATTTTTTGCTTTTAAAATATGTCTAATAGATGTCTAATAGACATCTTAACATTGTCGTCTTGGCTAAAACAAGGCTAAATGTGGGCTGTCAGTGAACATCTAATAGACGTTTAAGAATAGGCAAAAACTAGACTAGTCATCAAATAAACAGAAATGAATGACTACACATATAAAGTCTGTCTAATCTGTCTATTTGATGACTAGTCTAGTTTTGGGTTATTCTTAGATGTCTATTCGATTTTCACTGACAGCCCAAGTTTAGGCTTGTTTTAGCTAAGTTGTCTACATTTAGGTGTGTATTAGACATCTATTAAACACAAAATTGTTATCTAATACACGTTGCTCCGTGTTTTTGTGTCCCTAAAGTTTGTATGAACGAGAAACTGGGAGCATTTTTTTTCGTGTTGTGACGCAGTTCTTTGAGAAACAAAATATTAAATGCAAACAACACAGTGGGCGTGGCTTGTTTACTACTGTGATCTGATTTGATGTAGCAAAGTATGCATGCCATTTAGAAAGATCTGGAAAAGGGTTTCGTGAGAGTTATTGCAATCTAACAGACACCTCCTCCTCGCCATGTTAATCGTGCCCAGTACCTCAGACAGACGCAATTTGACAATTTAACTGAAAACCGATAGGATGCACATTTTTAGATTTCAATTTAAGATTACAAGGATAAACATTATATTTTTTCTTAATGATATGCACAGATGATTAGTTCACCACAAAACTATATGAGCAAACAAAATCAAAATGGTTTATTTTGATTTCAGGTGTCATTTAATTTCTTTTGTTTCTTAAGTCGACCACTTATAAAAATGCAGTTCTGTTTTTTTTTTAGCTTGTTTACTGTAAACTTGTCACATAGCAGTTTTTAGACATTGTTTTGTTGTTGTTATTTGTCAGAAATGACAGAGGCTTGGATTGTATCCACCCTCTGTAGGCGTGGCCTTCAGATTATGACCATTGCGCTCTGTCTCTATTGCTTTAGCACTCACACTGTGCTTCATAATAAGTTTTGAATTCTTTAGCTCATTCATGAACATGATTTTAGCAGGAGTCCAGTATGGATGTAATGAAGATGACAACTCCCATGATTCCACACTCAGCCACAGCATCATTAATCTATGCCAAACTTTGCAAAATCTAGTGGGAAAATTACATATTGTGCCTTTTAATTAAAAAAAGATCAAGACGAACTATTGATGAGACACTTGATTTTGGTCAGAAATAATGTTATTATCGTTCAGATTTTACAAATTATTACTTAAAGTTCTGAAATTACCTCGAAAAGAAGGCACATTAGGTAGTTAAATTAAATATGTTATCTATATTTAGTTTAACAGGTCAAAGCCTCAGTAAGTGCACCCTGATTGCCTCTGCATGTGTTTCCACAGGGATCAGTGGCTTGAATGACAGTGATTGGGATTCTGGGATATCGTTGCAAGGTAGTGAACACAGCCAAAGGTGGGCAGCAAAGACTGATGCACTCACATTACTGTCACTCTCACCATACATTGACTGTAGCATCTCTCATTGCTGATTAATGAGATACAGTTGAAGTCAGAATTATTGGCCCCCCTATATTTATTTTTCATTTATTAAAACTGATTTATTATATTTTGCCTTAATGACAGTACATAGTATTTTATTAGATATTTTCCTTATACTAGAATTTAGCTTAAAGTGGCATGTAAAGGCTTGAGGTTAATTCGGTTTACTAGGCTAGTTAGTGTTTGTAGACAATCAAAAAAATATATTGCCTAAGGAGACTAATATTTTTGACCCTAAAATGTTTTTTTTTTTACTTTTTTTTTACTGCTTTTATTTTACACAAAATAAAACAAATAAGACTTTTTCCAATGAAAAATATATTATCCGAAATACTGTGGAAAACTTCTTGTTTTGTTACACATCATTCTGAAAATATTTGAAGAAGAAAAAAAAATAAAAGAAAGAAAAATCCACAAGAGGGCTAATATTTTTGACTTTAACTGTAGTTCACCTCAGAATTAAATGTTAATCATTTACTCATCTTTCACTTGTTTCAAACTTGTTTGCGTTTCTTTCTTCCAAAGCTACAAGGACGATATACTTAACCTAAAGAAAGACATACTGAAAAGCGTTGGGACTTCCATAGTATTTTTTGTTCCTACTGTGTATGTCAATGGCTGTTTTTTTTTTTCAACATTTTCTAGGATAACTTGTTTTGTGTTTAACAGAAGAAATTCATAAACTTTAAAACTACTTCAATGTGAGTTAATGGTGAGGAAATTTCATTTTTGAGTGACCTAACCCTTTAAAGATGTATTATTTCAGCTTCCTTAGACTCCGTAATTTCATCATAAAGTTGGTTGAATATACAAAGAAATGGGGAATGTGAGCTCAGGAGAAAACAGCTGCTGATGCTTTTCATAAGCAAAGGCATGAGATCATATCATCGGCTTTTCCTGCCTCTCTTTTAATCTCCACCTAAGCAATGTATAATAAAGGAAATAGCCCAGCCCTTTCTCCAAACTAAAAAAAGATGCCATAAATTCCTACAAAAGGAATTCAAAATTGTTTTTACAAAGAAAACAAAAAACAAAAGATATTCCTAGGAACTTTTGGTTGTACATAAATTATTATATGGGGTATACTTTAAATGAAATGCAAAAAATACAAATAAAAATCAAACAAATAGAAAAATATTAATAAATATATAAAATTAATCCAATGATTTTTTCTGTGTTTATCCTTTACATTATATACTATAAATATATTAGTTAAGGTAATGAAAGTTTCCTTTGAATTATATCTGTCCTGAGGTGTAATGGTTTCTACGATTGACACATTCATTCTAACTCTTGACAACGGTATGGCCACATTCCTCTTTTAGGTTAATATTTAAGTCTTTGAAAATGTAAACATATGCATAAGCCCAGCTAGTGCATCATAATCAGGTACAAGCCCCACACACACTCAACGTCCGTCAGCCTAATTAGTGATGACGGCCTGCTCCACTTAATCCCCCCACTCCGCACAGGAGCTGACGTGTTTCTTTCTCTCTGTGCCTCTCTTTGGTCGGCCCACAGGGCCTTTGTGTTGGGCGACGACCTTCCGCTGAGCCCTCGCCACGAGCAGGCCAAACGACTGCTGGAGAGAGCGCGTATGAAGGCCCGGTCCAACCCTCTCAAAGCCGACCACACCATCCTACCCGTCCAGAGGGACAACCCGTAAGTTTTCCTCAGTGATATTTCTCTAGCTTGTTTTCTGGCTTGTTGGGGTTTTAGCTGAGAGGGTGGGGGTTTAGAGGCTTAGGCATCATGGGAAGGGAGGGTGTCTACTAAATACGGCTCTCTTCATATCAAAACAAGAAAACCTTCGCCTGCTCACACTTGAGGATTTGTTTGGAGGATGTAGTTCTTGAACGGCATTATTCGGTCATGGAATGAATTGTCTTTTGGTCCGCTGGGAAACTGATAAAAAGAAAGAGGGGGGGAGTGTTTGGCAAATCTCTATTCAGAAGCAACAGGTGCTCTGTTTTTCAGTCAGGCCATTTTGCAGGGCACAAAACTTACATATAAAGATATTTATTAAGATTGTATTCATCGTTACATCATAGATGCCTTCTCATTGATAGCAGTAAAACAGCACAATGCTAATGGTAATCTGAATTTAAACTTCTCAACTAAGTGCACTAGCGTCCTTCTCCAAACTCTTCTTCTCTATTTCTGCCACATGTTATATAAGACAACCTGAATTATACAACGTGAACACACAGCTGGTGCCTCTAAATCCTACTTCCCTGTCCACCGCTCTGTTCTCTACCTCAGCATTTTCACACAAAGACAGATGGGTGAGCTGCCCCAAACGGCTGTCTCCTTGTTTGGTATGAAGACAAGCGACGTGCAATGCATGACAGCATCCGGAACAGATTAGGTCACAACAACAAACCTAACATGCACTGAGCAAAGAGATGAAAATGTGTTAAATAAATAAAGAATCTATTCGAAAGAAAGCAAAACATAGTAAATTAGACATTCAATTTCTTCCTTTGTTTTTAATTAAATGAGTGCTTTGGTGAAACTGCTGTGTGTGCTGCTCTGCTACACCTGTCATGTCTGCCAGCTGTTACTTTCATTCTCCCTAATTCCCTCCCTGCTTCTCCCTTATGGGAAAAACAGCTTGGTGATGTTGAATACACTTCTGTCAGCTTGCTGGGGTTAAATTTAACACTTAACGGCCTCTCGAGATTGACTGTTTAAAACAAACTCGCGGCTGTATGAAGTCCCATAGGTTTCAGAACAGTGCACAAAGCTTAATGGGCATAAAAAGTCCCAGTGCACAACAAGACACCTGTAGATTACTATTGCTGCAATTCTACATCTTAGTAAACAGAATATGCAAGTTATGGTTTTTCTTTGAAAAAGAGCTGATATTTTTTAAATCCCTGGCATGCTGAAGATGACCTTCCTTAACGGAGTAAAAACATGTCAGGAATGTGCACAGAGGAGCCAAAGCAGAGGGAAAATTTCCTCAGGAATTTGCCCATGTCTTCATGCTGAGAGACAGACTGCCAACTACTCTGGCATGCATCTGTTTCTTTGCGTATCTCAGTGCAAAGGAATGCAATTAATTTCATATATGTGCATGTGTGTACAGGGAGTTGCTCTCCTGGGTTGGTGTACCCCTACACCAGGCTCCTCTTGCGGGGAAGGAGGGCGTGGCGGTTGTCTCGGGAAACCTCAGTGACTCCTCCAGTGGAGACTCAGCTGGCGGGACCCGCCGGAGACACGGGCAGTCTCCAACTCGTGTGCGTTTTGAAGATGAATCAGAGAAGGATGCAGAGGTGCGCTACCTAGAGAGGCTACGCCAAAGACGCAGGGCTGGAGAAAGAGCGCAGGGCTTGTTGGTATCAAAACCCACCTTGTCTTCTTACATCAATGGAAAGGCAGAGACTGGACATGGGTCACATGAGTCAATATTTTGGAAGACAAAAGCCAAGAAGAGTTTGTTAAATGGCAAAAGTCCTGAGGCACTAAACAGGTCATGCAACTCTTGTGGCATCTTTTTAAATGAACCTCAAGGACCTAGCTTGAACTCAAATACTCTGTCCTTACCTAATGGGGAAGTTGAAGGGAAGAAGATACCATGTTGGGTTGCTCCCACCCTTCCCAACCGCCTTGTCCGGATTGAACAGATTAAGGAAACATACATTGGGACAAGTCCCGCTATTGTGCACAGCGATGGAACACACTGCAGTCCTTCGGATAACAGTAATGGTAGAGGAACATTTCAGAAGCTAAAGAAGAAGGTTCGAAAATTTGACAGCAAGCGGGAATCTTTGTATGTAAATGGCCACAGGACTCCATCACCTCTGGACTGCAACAAACTTGCAACACCCAACGGAACTCAAATGTATCTCTTGAATGGAGTAGCATTGCCACTCAATCCCTATGCCCCAGATACACTTGGACAGAGAATCCCGGCCACATCCAGCAAAGGTCCCGTGGCACCTCCATTACCCCTCAAAGCAGAGCCACCCAGTTCTCAGCCAGCCCAGCCAACCCCTCCACCTCTACAACCCAAAAAATCAGCCCTGAAATCCAGCTCCAAGAATCGCACTAATGATCCGCGGACTGTCACAATTATGCCTTCGTCAGAGTACCACATGGTTCATCTGGACTCCACAGACGCTGGGGGCACTGTGGACAATTGTCCTCAGGAGCAGACTCCCCCTGTTTTGGGTTACTGGGAGGACAGATCTGTAATGGTCACCCCTGGACCCTTACTCAGGACGAGCCCAGTTCTGTGTGCTCGAAATTTTCCTGTACAAGGGGAAGAAAGGTCAACAGGTTAGTTTCATTACATACAGTAGTTACTGAATAGAATGTTTAGTCGAAAGCATACAACCATATAGCAGGGGAGTTGAAACCTGCTTCTAGAGGGCCAGCAGAGTTTAGGCCCAACTTAGTTGGGATTCAAACACACCTGCCTACTTGTTTTTAGCAAGTCCTTAATCACCTACTACTAAATTTAGCTCCAACTCTGATCAAACGTACCTCCCAGTAGCTTTCTAGTGATCCTGAAAACATTAATTAGCTTGTTCATGTTTGTTTGATTAGGGTTAGAGCTGAAATCTGCAGGAAAGTGGATCTTGAGGTCAGAATTGAGAGCCTCTCCTCAAGACCATGGCCTTTCAGGAGCAGAATTAAGACACCCTGTCATACACTTGCTGAGACAATTCCCTCAAAATAAATTTTAGTTTAGTGCCTTGTCTAAAAGTGGTAGTGATTAGTGGTGGTTGCCTTCTGACAGATTTATACCAGCATCCTTCTGGTTACTAACACTGAGCGACTGAAAAGGAGTTTTTCAGGAAGATAATCAATAATCTGCAATTCATTAAGCATTACTAACAATGGATTAATGTGTTACGCAAGTGTCCTCTCTAGTTGAAACCTCTCATTTTTAATACACATCTGAGCTTCATGCTGGAAAGGATTGAGCTAATATTTAGCATTGTGAAGGTTAAGTTTTAAACGCAAGCTTACATAATGCAATCTAAAAATTAATCATAGCTTTTCCCAGAATCAAGCGGCAGTAATAGGTAGCTGTCTGAGCCCTGCTCCAGTCAGAAAGGTGTCACCTTTGGGTGTGCGCATGTCCGCTTCCCCTCACTGCGTTCCAGTCCCAGTGGGGATTGTCCAGATCAGCAGATCTGTTCTGTCCTAGTGAAGTAATCCCACAGTGGGCCAGTTGCTAGTGTGATCAGCAACCACCCTCTTCAACAACTTTGCACCTTGTATGATGCTGCTTGGAAATACATTCTGGCTCTTACATTTCAGTCACATGAGATGTTACTTATTAAGATTCACACATTATCATAAAATTTCATGATTCAGTATCACAATTAAAGTTTACACAATATCTTTCATCCATTATGCTTTGATATCCATTGTTCTTCCTCAGATGTGGAACAGCACCAGGTAACAGGACAGCTAGCATCTGATGCAACATCCAGCAGTGCTGAATCACCCCAGTCTCGTCTCAATGACGGACACGTCCGAGGGCCAATCAGACCAGTACATAACAGGGCAACAAGCCCAAACTTTTCACAGTGAGTAAAGAGAGTGGAACTCATAAATGTTACGTCATTACGCTTTTCAGTGATCTTTTTTTTTTTTGGTCATGACTTTTACAAACCAGATCCTTTACTAAAATGTTAAATCCTTTCATCGAATGATTTAATTTCCGCAGACCACAATCATACAGATTGCTTTGGCACGACAGGCTCAAAGTAGGTCAGGATAGATGTGGGCCAAACATCTTCATGTCTATTACAACACTGCCACCTGCTGATTAGGAATCACAATCGCATAAACAATTTTTAAATATTCTTGTTTTTTTTTACTAACATTATAGGTTTTGTGTTGTCCTGAACAAAACAATATGAGGTTAAATTTAATCTCTGTATTATTTATTGACATGATAGAATTATTAACTATACCTCTTTTTTTTAAAAAGACACCAAAGCATGCAATGCTGTCAGTGGGTTTGTTTATATGGACATCGGTTATCTATATGGACATCAGTTTATTCAGGATAAGATAATATTAATAATAATAATTATACTTTATATTTATATAGCACTTTTCTCGACACTCAAAGCGCTTTACACAATGGGGGGATTCTCCTCATCCACCACCAGTGTGCAGCATCTACCTGGATGATGCGACGGCAGCCATATTGCGCCAGACCCCACAACACACACCAGCTGATTGGTGGAGAGGAGACAGATTGTAAAGCCAATTATCATATGGGGATGGTTAGGAGGCCATGATGGACAGAAGCCAGTGGGCAAATTTGTACAGGATGCCGGGGTTAAACCCCTACTAACGATCACAGAGAATCAGGACCTCAGTTTAACGTCTCATGCGAAAGACGGTGCTCACTGGGCAGTATAGAGTCCCCATCAATATACTGGGGCATTAGGACCCACACAGACCCCAGGTTGAGCACCTCACTAACACCACTTGCAGCAGCTACCTAGCATGTGGTCTCCGATTCAGGTACTGACTGGGCGCAGCCCTGCTTGAGGCTGATTTATACTTCTGCGTCAAGCGCACGCGTATGCTACGGCGCAGCCTACTTGTGGACGCATAGCCCTCGTCGTGGCCGTTGGCATCACCTCTCAAAAATGTAACTACACGTTGCAACCATGCGTAGCGCAAGCTCTGTGATTGGTCGGCTTGGAAGCGATGACGAGTGTGGGGGGGACCGAGAGCTGCGCGAGTTCATTAGAGTGAGTGTTTACACGTCTCGACTGTTTACAAGGAGCTCCGGATGGAGAATGTTGCTTTGTGTTTACCTTATGGTTAAAGTTGTTGCACGTCCGCCAGTTCCTGCCTCAAAATGAGCGGGTTTGAACCACCTGTACATTAAGGAAGCGTTCAGAAAAAACAAAACACCAGTAAAGAAACTCGACACAGAGGAACATAAACACCCACTGTCAGCTAGCGTTTCAGAAGTGTTATTGCAGAGCAACAGAAACAGCACGCAGAAGTATGAATGCACAGCTACGCATGTTGCATGCACCGCAGGTCACACCGATCACTTGACGCAGAAGTATAAACCAGGCTTTAGCGTCAGTGGCAGCCATGTGAGAGCTGCAGAGAGCTAGCTGCCGAAATATACATGGGAATGTGTTTACATGTGTTGATTTTAGAAGATTCCATGTTCCCGTTTTACATGTTATTGCACATAAATCAAGTAAAGGTGTCATTATGTCTCCATGTAACTTCGATCAACGTTCCAAGCAAAGTTTCACACTTTCAACTGTTTACATGGTAGATTCTTAATCGGAGTGTAATCATACGCATGTGAACCCAGCAGGCCGAAAAAGGATGCTCATGTGACAAGTTTTGCATGTCGCTGCATCCCAAATTTCAAGCTTGCAAAACTCTGACCTGTGAATTCACGTCACGTGAATGTGTGAGACCAATCGAGGATCAAAACCTGACCACTCAAAGCAAAATACTCAAACTCTAGTGTGACCGCAGCTTTAATCGTGTCAGAGAACTAAAAACTGTCATCAATGTACTGAATGGACTGAATGTGAAAAGAAAAGTAAGCACACTGAAATGACCTGTTATGGCTTTTCCAGAGCGGTAACAGATGCTGATCAACGGGAAGGTCGACCCAAGCTCTCCCTGCGGAGGTTTTTCTCTGCCATGGGGCTGAACAGTGTGGGGTTGCTGGGAAAGGGTCGATCCAGCAGCATGGATCAGCTTAGCCTGCACCCCAAACCCAACTCAAACCTAAACCAAAACTCCAGGCCTACGTCGCCTTCGCCCTCCCCCAGCCCCACACACAGACACCACCACCAGCTGAAGAAAGCCCCGTCACTGCAGACGATACGACTGGTTAGCATCTGCCTTAAAATTGTATATGTCTGTTTACATGCTACTAATGAACTGTTGGTAGATCATGATGATAGTATGTGAGCTGAACTGACAGTATCATTTCTTATCACTAGGGGTCTCCATTTCTCCAGCTGAGGAGATCTTCCTCTGCTCAAAACCTCCAAATCCCTAGGAAAAAAACGGATCGCTCTTCTGCATACACTCCAGGAGAACAACCTTGTAGTCCTGTATTAACCAGGTACATATTTTATACATTATATAAATTATTAACACTTTGATTTGGTTCATCACTTTTATAATATAATATAATATAATATAATATAATATAATATAATATAATATAATATAATATAATATAATATAATATAATATAATGGGTGACATGGTGGTTAGCACTGTCGCATCACAGCTGGTACAAGTCCCCGCTGGGTCAGTTGGTATTTCTGTGTGGAGTTTGCATGTTCTCCTCGTGTTCCAGTGGGTTTCCTCTGGGTGCTCCGGTTTCCCCCACAATCCAAAGACATGTGGTACAGGTAAATTGAATAAAACTAAATTGGCCGTAGTGTCTATGTTAATGAGTGTGTATGTATGATTCCCAGTAATGGGTTGCCGCTGGAAGGGTATCTGCTGTGTAAAACATATGCTGAATGAGTTGGCGGTTCATTCCGCTGAATAAAGGGATTAAACTAAATGAAACTTAATAATATAATATAATATAATATAATATAATATAATATAATATAACATTTTGCCATGTTTGGGTTACATTAGGTTACATTATAAAAGCAAAAAAAAGATTTTGAATAAAATAATACACTACTTATTTTACAAAATACATTTAAATATATAATATAATCATAATGTCAATGTTTGATATATTTTATGAGTTATGTTATTTGAAGTGACAATAAAATTAATATAATAAAAATAACATTGTTTTTTTAAATATCTTAATAAATGTTTGATAAATATATGATTATTTACTACCAATGTAATATAATATAATTTGTTTTGGATGCTCAAGATTTTTTCAATATAAAGATGTTTAAAAGAATAAGGATGATGCGATGTGAGGGTGATGTTTGATGTGAACTAGTTATGAACTTGTATTTAAATTAACAATTAATAAAATAAATATTTTAATTTATATGTTAATATAATAAATAACATGCCTTATTGTATTTTGCAATTGAGTATGTTTAGATTTTTATTATATAAATATTTATTTTATATAAACTAATGACCACAGAGAATCAGGACCTCAGTTTAACGTGTCATCCGAAAGACGGTGCTCACTGAGCAGTATAGAGTCCCCATCAATATACTGGGGCGTTAGGACCCACACTGACCGCAGGTTGAGCGCCCCCCGCTGGTCTCACTAACACCACTTGCAGCAGCGACCTAGCATGTGGTCTCCGATTCAGGTACTGACCGGGCTGATTTATACTTCTGCGTCAATATATATATATATATATATGTATATATATATTGTTGAAGTCAGAATTATTAGCCCCCTGAATTATTAGCCCCCCTGTTTATTTTTTCCCGAATTTCTGTTTAATGAATTGAAGATTTTTTTTCAACACATGTCTAAACATAATAGTTTTAATAAATCATTTCTAATAACTGATTTATTTTATCTTTACCATGATGACTGTAAATAATATTTTACTAGTTATTTTTCAAGACACTTCTTTACAGCTTAAAGTGACATTTAAAGGCTTAACTAGGTTAATTAGGTTAACTAGGCACGTTAGGGTAGTTAGGCAAGTTACTGTATAATGATGGTTTGTTCTGTAGACTATTGAAGGAAATATAGCTTAAAGGGGCTAATAATGTTGTCCCTAAAATGGTTTTTAAAAAATTAAAAACTATATTTTAGCCGGAATATAAATAAAAACAAATAAGACTTTCTCCAGAAGAAGAAATATTATCAGACACACCGTGAAAATTTCCTTGCTCTGTTAAATATTATTTAGGAAATATTTAAAAAATAAAATAAATTCAAAGGGGGACTAATAATTCTGCCTTCAACTGTATTATGGGCTGCATGATATTGGAAAAATTACACATTTCAATATTTTTTATTCTGTGATATATATATATTGCATATGACTACAATTTCACTAGATGAGTTGAATAAATGTTTGTAAAGAATCTATAATTTTAGATTGATTGGGATAATTCTGTATGGGAGTGTATAAAATATATTAAAAACAATCAACAAGCATAGATAAATTCAATAAAGAAAATGCTAATTAAATAAACATTGCATTTAATTGTTTTTGGAAGATTCAAATTTTTTTTGGGTATTCAGGAATTGAATAATCAAATATAAAACAGTCTTCGTTTTATAAACAATTCAATAAAATGAATTATTAATTTTCTAAGTTACAATGGTACATTTTTTCCTATGCCTGAATGCTTTTAAATCTCTCACAAAGTCACAGGACTCAAAAAACACTTGCAAAATGATCAGTTATAATCCAGCCTCAACACTGCATATACACGCGATGTGACTACTGCGAATGATCACATTGCGATATTTCAATGCTGAAACTATGTATTGTGCAGCACTAGTGTGTTTATATAATAGCTGCACATATAGAAACTTTAAATTAAATCTAAAGGCATGTTGTCTGCTTTTATCTCACCACTGACCTATATCATAACATTTACCCTGTCACAGCACCCTCCATAAATCTCCCTGTTTACCACTGTAGCCTTCTAGCATTCTGAACGCTAGTAATTTTAAGCTTGACATGTTCAGCGAAGCAGGCGTTCTGTTCCTGTAATGTTCAGACAGCTGTCGCGTTGTGCAACAGGATAAGTATTTTCCATTGACTGGCTCAGAAACAGCAGCACAGAGAGACGGAGGATAAAAATAGAGGTGTGTGTGTGTGTCTGCCAAAGACAGACAAGGAATGCTGGGAATGATCAGCCTGTCTGCTGCTATATTGAGCCTCTTGAATGTTTTACTCAACGCTGGCCTTTAAGTGTGTGTGTTTGGGTTGTTGGCATTAGCAGAGTGTGTGTTTGTCAATGGTGTGGGGATTCAATTGCATGTGTGTTCGAGAGTGTGAATGTGTGTTGAGGTGAAGGAGAGAAAGACAGAGAAAACTTACATCATCTTCATTGAGAGCCAATTGGAGAGAGAGCATCGCTTCAGAGACCAGCTGTGATTGGCTGAGAAAGAGAGAAGCTGGAATAAAAGGAAAAAAAAACAGAGAGAGATACATCAATGCACACTGATGTTTTTTGACCTTCTACCATTAGAAAAACTGTTCTGCTTGTGTCTTGTTTTTCTGCCTCCAGGTCTGAGTGAAATTCGATTATATTATGTTATTATATTTAATATTTTATTTTAAAAAAATAAAGTAAATGTGATAAATATATTCAGGCTCTACATTTGAAAATACATGTGTAAAATTACTAAACATTATAAATGAAAAAAAAAAAAAAAAAAAAAAAAATATATATATATATATATATATATATATATATATATATATATATATATATATATATATATATATATATATATATACACACTCAGTGGCCACTTTATTAGGTCCAACTTTCTAACTGCTTGTTAAATGTTCTAATTATCCAATCGCATAGTAGCAACTCAATGCATTTATTTATTTAGACATGGTCAAGATGATCTTCTGCAGTTCAAACCGAGCATCAGAATGGGAAAGAAAGCTGATTGAAGTGATTTTGAATGTGGCATGGTTAACAGGCTTGTCTGAGTATTTCAGAAACTGCTGATCTACTGGGATTTTCACTTACAACCATCTCTAGGGTTTACAGAGAATGGTGAAAAAAAGAGAAAATATTCAGTGAGCAGCAGTTCTGTGGGTGCAAATGCCTTGTTGATACAAGAGGTCAGAGGAGAATGGCCAGACTGGCTTGAGCTGCTAGAAAGGCAACAGTAACTCAAATAAGCACTTGTCACAACCGAGGTATGCAGAAGAGCATCTATGAATGCACAACACGTCCAAACTTAAGGCGGATGGGCAACAGCAGCAGAAGACCACACCGAGTGCCACTCCTGTCAGCTGAGAGCAGGAAACTAAGGCTACAATTCGCACAGGCTCACCAAAATTGGACAATATAGGATTGGAAAAATGTTGCCTGGTCTGATGAGTCCCATCTTCTGATGGCTACTTTTAGCAGAATTATGCGTCATGTCATAAAGGGCGAATCAGCTCACACTGGTTTCTTCACCATGACAATGAGTTCACTGTACTCAAATGACCTCTACAGTCACCAGATCTCAATCCAATAGAGCACATTTGGGATGTGGTGGAACAGGAGATTCGCATCATGGATGTGCAGCCGACAAATCTGCAGCAACTGTGTGATGCTATCATGTCAACATAGACCAAAATCTCTGAGCAATATTTCCAGTACCTTGTTGAATCTGTGCCACAAAGGATTAAGGCAGTTCTGAAGGCAAAAGGGGGTCCAAGCCAGTACTAGCAAGGTGTACCTAATAAAGTGACCGGTAAATGTGTATATATATATATAAATATTATAGATATATATACAAACACACACATACACATTTTAAACTGCTTATATTCTAGCCGAAATAAAACTTTCTCCAGAAAAAAAAAAAATATTATAGGAAATACTATGAAAAAGATTCTTGCTCTTTTAAATGTAATTTGGCAAATATTAAAAAAAAATTAAATGCCTCGGGATCCCTCTGGAGGAGCTGGAGGAAGTGTCTTAGGAGAGGGAAGTCTGGGATTCTGTAAATGACATTTCAAAATACAATTTGTAAATAAATCTAAATGGGTCAAATGTAATCTAAAAAATGTAATATGTAAATATTTTTAAGCTAAAGCATCTGATGAATGATTTATTAAAAGATTAAATCAGGGTGTCTGTGGGGTCTTAAAAAGTTTTAATAGTTGATAAATCAATGTAGAGAAATTTAGGGCCCTTAAAAAGTATTAAAAAATCTTAAATGCTTTTTTGCAAGGTATTAAATATGATATCATTTTTGATTATGCAATGTATGACTGTATGCTAAAGTTTCCTGAATTTAATCTGCGAATATCAGGATGCTGTGTAGTTTATAAGGTCTTAAAATGTATGGAAAGAGTCTTAAAAAGGTTTTAAAATGCATTTACTCTGTGATTCCTGTATATATTCTGTAAATACATAAATATATATCCACCTAATAACCACTTATAACAGGCTGGAAACTGCATAGTGCAGATTTTAAAAAACAACTGATACATACAACACCATACAGCTTTTCAGGATTAAGATCCACTCTTGTAAAAATATAATTCAAATACTATATAATCAACTAATAATAATGAACAGACCATATAATCTGTCAGATGAACACTTCTACTGCATTTGTCTCTTGGTGTGTGTTTTAGGGATCTTCAGCGTGCCTTGAGTGTGGAGGATGTGGGACGTCCCAGTGCGGTTCGGCCGGTGGGACGTGTGGCTCAGGCTTTCCCTGATGGCACCATCCTGCTGGAGCTCTCCAGACCCCCGAACGGACCCTTCGGCTTTCTCATTTCAAGAGGAAAAGGCAGGCCAGACTCAGGTGAATGACTCGTTCTTGTTTAAACACGTCTCTGACAGCCTAAACTTGTAAAGGGGTAAAGGTGTGATTTCATGTTTTCCATTGTATTTGAACTTGTATGTTACAAGTTCATGCACATAGGCGATACATTTTTTACATTATCACAATTTATTTGCAATCCGCTTGTTAAGTCATGACGTATCACACATTAAAGTAATTTGATATAAAATCATGGTGTACACAACAGTCTCTGGACTTGCTGCATCACAAACACCAAAATGTTAACAATTTATACAAAATTTATAATTTTCTGGCCATCGGATATTAGGCATGGATGTATATATATTGCGATCGTGATTTTCAAAAGTATTACATTTCTTTGTAAACACATAATAATTACCATTTGATAAGTCATACAGTTTGATACCCGTACAGTTTGATACAGCGCTTGGACCCGGAAGCTGATTCGCGTGACGTCACAATTAACAGGTGGATAGTTTAGAAAATGCAAATGAAAAATGACAATAACTCAGAATGAAATAGACAAAATTAAACAAATTCATCTTAATAATATCACATACTTAATAATAGAAAGGTTCCATATACAATGGCTTACAATCATCTTAAAATTATTCAAATTAAATATTTTCCGAGACTCGCTGAAACTTCACTTCCTGTTGATGTTTAATGACTGTAAAAGGAATTTTGGGGTATAAATGTCAGGGTTTGCTTTATTTTGTTAAACTCATCTACACAAATGAACTATAGTGTTTAGGTAAAAAAAAAAACATTTAATTATATTTGGTGTCTGAAAATGTTTTTGGTTTGCCGGTATATGATCTATAAATTTGCAAAGACTCAAACCCAGAGACTTGTCCTCCTTCAAACACACCCCCACAAATCTACGTTCACGGTGTGGGAACGGTGCATCAACTCACAGACTGTTCCAACTGATCCAAATGAAAATCGAAACTAAGAATTCTGAGACAAAAAACACTTTGTGATTTATTTTTATTAAATAATATAAGGTAAAAGACTTCCTGAATTTAACTAATCTTAAATAATATTGATTTGTAAAAAAAAACAAAGCACTGAACACTACTGACAGCATAGGCTTTTATTTTGGCTCACATTTTTGGTTTTGTCGAAAACCAAAATTCGTTTTAGCAACTGAAAACTCAGTGCATCTCTAAAACACACACAAAAGTATGCACAAAGAAAGAAGGTGCAATTTGTATTATCGTTATACAGTGGTAGCTCGCTAAAACCCGGTTCACTTTTTGCGGCCTCACAGTTTTGCTGATTTTTTTTTGCATTTTTTCTACAGCACAGACCCTCATTACTGCATTGTGCTCTGCGTCCTGACTGGCTGTAGACCATTGTCAATCAGTCTCCTTCGTGCCGTGCCTCCTGTACAGTAAAGAATGCGCTCAGCTTGCCAAATTTACATAAATCTTTGATCGCTAGCAGTGTGACTCTAAAGTGCTGTACTGTATGTTTGCAAATTATCTCCCTACAATGGCGACGAAACGTTCGGAACTGTCAAAGGCACCTGCGGTAGCAAACTTCTGGACACGATAAAAGAAAGGTAGAGGTGATGGAGCTGTAGGGCGCCATAACAGAATAAATAAATAAAGATCAAATAGTTTTGACCTTTGGTATCATTCTATAATACTGGACTTATTTTTCTACGAAGGTTTGAACTTTGAGTGTTTAAACAAAAGAGAAAAGTGTAAAATGTTAATGTCTGTCTGCGGAAGGTGAATAAAGTGTGTAGTGAGGGGTTTTACAGCCTAAAACATCTATAATAATTGTAAATAAAGCGGACTAGTTGGCGGATTTTGCCTCTTGCGGGTTAATTTTCAAAACGTAACTCTAGCGATTAACAAGGTACCACTTTATAATTGATGCTGTTAGAACATGTTGTGGAGATGTTGTGTGTTTCATGGCGAAAGCAAAACTACTTTATTTGTAAAAATAAAACCAGTTACATTCTGCTAAAGTCACACTGTAAGTTTGATCAATCAGCTTGATCATTGGCATTTTCTGGATCAGACTCAGCCTCAAATTGAAAATATTACCACCTATCAATCAACATTGCTTTTAAAAAGCGGTTATTCCATATATGGTTAGGGGCGTAACATTTCTATTGGCCAATCAGAGCACAATACTCATAAGCTTTATAAAAATTGACGAGTTTCAGAAAGGATAGGTCGAAACAAGCATTAACAATGTATGGTATGTGAAAAATAATGTGCTATAAAGCTTGTATACACATTTTAACCAGATACACAAAATATTGTTATTTTTAGGAACATGATATGACCCCTTTATAACTGACTCTCTTTATGTTTAAGGGGTGTATGTTGAAGAAATGGGCGACAGCAATATGGAGAAACTGTACGCGGGGCTGCTGGGGGTCGGGGACGAGATTTTAGAGGTGAACGGCGAGAAGGTGGCGGGACTCAGTCTGGACCTGGTGACCCGTTTAATGACTCAAAACAGCACCGCTTCCATCCGTGTGCTACGACACAGACGTCTGCAACGCTAACTGAAGACCAGATGTTTCACTGCACTCAATGTAATCAAAAGAAGGTCAGATGAGTTTTTGTGAAAGGCAGTATTACTTTTTACCGCCCTTTAGAGCTGTGTTATGGGGACATATTACACAAAAAAATCATGGTTTTATTTCATTCATATTGTTCTGGTATTTTTTTTGGACTAACTCAAACACTGAATCAGTGTTTGGGGTGTGTTTACACCAAGGATGATAACTATATGAGTTACCGCACTTTTTGCACACTTAAGATCCTTTAAAAATGCGAAGTTTGCATAAAAATTATTATTTTTAAAAATGTTATGCTATTCATTTAATTCCAGTCACATTGAATGTTTTACATAACTCCTGACTCCTCATTTAGAGGAGATCTGTGATATGAAGGATACAATTTATATTGATTTACAGCATTATTTTTATTTTTTTGTTTGCGTAATGATGCACAACAGTCTACGACATAGGTCTCAAACTCGATTCCTGGAGAGCCACAGCTCTGCAGTTTGCTCCAACCCTAATCAAACACAGCTGATCCAACTAATCAAGGTGTTCAAGACTACTAGAGACTATTAAGCAGGTGTGAGTTTGAGGTGGTTGGAGCTAAACTATACAGAGCTGTGGCTCTCTATGAATTGAGTTTGAGACCATTCAATATAGAGTAAAAAAGTAAAAATGTTCAGAGCTTATCATTATTAATGACATCATTTTTATGATGGTTTGATATAACATAGTTTATCATATCAGCCGTAGCTATAACCATAATCTGCCATTTGGAGCATTTTGCACGATGGTCCGTGTTACAATTTTCACTTCGTTTTCATTCATTAGTGTTGAAGCTAATATATTTATCATTCTTGTTGTGGCCTTTATGTTTAATTTACAGTCGTACATTGAAAAACAAACAACAACAAAAACCTGATTTAGTCACATTTATTTAGTGTTTTCTGACCAGAATTCTATACTATTAAATTATATTGTTACAAAAGAATATGACACATAACTACGTATGAAGGACAAGAATATTTCATGCACCAAAAGCTAAACTCAAGTATTATCATAATGAAGCAGGATTTTTAACTTCTTCAGAACATTCAGTTTCATTCAAAGACTTTTCACAGTGGGTTCTAGTACCTTCTCTATGCTGCTGACGAGTACACAGATCTATACTGTACACGATCAAAAGAGCTTCATATACTCCTCCTAGAGCGCGCACCGGCTCAGTGCGCACGCTGCATTGCATTGATCATCCGCTTGAAAAGCTCTTTAGTATATTGATTGGATATTTCTCCATGAGCCAGCACATTGCCATGCCTCTACAGTGAAATCCCACACCATTAGCGTGCTGCCCTAAAGGAGATCAGTATTACGGTACATGCTACGCAAAAGGCTACCAGTCTAATGTATTTTGTTACATTTATTTATATGTGTTCCTATCAAATAAAACAACTGGCTTTTGTGGGAGTGCATGTTTTTTTTTCTTCCTGTATATGCTGAACTACGAAGTATTACAGATTTTAGACAAATCTGAGCTGTTGAAAGCAAACTGGTAAAATCTGTTTTAGACTGCCTCTCGAAGTGGTTGAAAGTTGACTAGCTCGAGATGTTTAAGACTCCATTTACACCATTTTATTTGTGGTAGGGTTGATGAAAACATCTCAAGTGGTACCTATTTTACCCCTTTTTAAGATTTAAGTCTCCAGAAAATTTTTGTCTCCAGAAAGATTTTGTGTCTCCACAATGTGTCTGTAAAGTTTCAGCTCAAAACATCTATCAGATTATTTATTATACCTTTCAGAATATTGGATTTGCTGCTCTGAACACAATGTAGCTGTTTGTTGCCTTTGCCTTTAATGCTAAATGTTCTCACCGCCCATCATTCCCATGTGCCTGTTAGAGTGTGCCTCATTCTCTGGCTGCTTCAGATAAACAGCACAGTGACAGACATGAAGGAAGCAGATCTCTTGTAACGTTTCTGAGAAATACTACAGTAAGAACGTTCCCAATGATTATTTGATGTATTTGTTGTGGAGTTATTTCAAACCTTTCTGCAACGATGAGTTACACACATTGTCATTACAAATTTCACACACAGACACACACAGCTTGGGCGTTTAACTTTACACTGGTTTTGCACGCCAACTGTGACAGGATAAATCCACTGCTGTTTGGATATCCGTTATGTTAATGTACAGAATAAACCTGATTTAATGTCCATAAACTAGGATTAAAGCATCTTCTTTTTACAGACAAGTGGCTGTGGTGACACTTAGTAGTCCTTCTTGATCACATTTGATGATGAGTGATGATCACAGAAGGCTCAACAGATCTTTTAATCCCAGTTGCTTTGCGCATGTTTTGTCTTGTTTATATTATAATACGCATTTCTACGGAGACATGTTAATATCTGACTGTCAATTAATTTAGTGGGCGAGGACTGAAATGGTAAACTGCAGGGTTTGTCCAAACACCCTTATTAGTGGTGTGTTACAATGTTTCTGTGTTTTTGTGCACCGAGGAAACCTTTAAAGCTGAAATCCATTGACATATTTTATTAAATTTACTCATTTTATTGCAAGTGTTATATTGCTAAAGGTCCCTATTGTTACTATATTAACTTCAGTTTCTCAAAGGTGTCAATTTAGTTGTGTGTATTTTCTACATCTACGTTCATCTAAACATCTTTCTCAGTAGAATGGATGTTTTGCTAACCACATATCACACCTCAAGGATTTCATATGTCTTTACTGCTTAGTGGAGAGCGAAAAAGAAAATACGTCAGTTGATCCGCGCCTTATGAAGCTCTTAGTTTGTCCAGCTGTCTGTGCGAGGTAAGGAGGAGGTGTGTGTACTGGTCAATATCCCTCCTGTCCACTCTTATTGATTAGACAATGATTGATTCCAACCTGGACACTAACACAGACACACACACACTCACATACGCAAACGCATATCATAAAAACACCCAATACCACTTGAGCTGGTCTTCAGCCAGTTTTAAAATTAACTATGAATCAGTTCACTTGTGGTGAGAAACACAACAGACCAACAAACAAATGTTATGATGTACTCTGTGTGGGAAAAATAGCAGTGCTTTACTGTTTCTAATGCCTCTCAGAATGAATCATAGGTTAACCTGGAGACGATGTAAAGTGCCTTATTAAAATTTGGCCAGAAAAATGTTTTAGAACAATAGTCCAGATCAAATAATGACTTTAACGGCACATTTGGTCTATTTATAAACATTGCCTTGTAAGCGTGAAACAAACCATGAGGAAAATGAAACAATGGAACAGTTTTAATTCCTGGATCAGTACAAAGCAAACGGTCTAAAGGTGTGAAAATGCCCTTAGGATATAAGCAATTATATCCTTCATTACACACTATTCATAGCGGTGTCATTGATTACAGTTTTTTTTTTTTACATTCTAATTTGCTCAAATAAAAAAAGAAAACCTCTACAATAACGTTATCATGACTTTCAGAAGAAACAAACAGCGTTGGGGTCACATTACAAGTAACGTGAGTTACGTAATAATATTAGTTACTTGTTACTATTAATTACTATTGGTTATTAGTTAATAAAGTTTCTTTTTAAAATTGTAAAACAAGTTACTTTTTAGTTAAGTTAATTCACTTTGCATTCATTCATTTTCTCGTCGGCTTAGTCCCTTTATTAATCTGGGGTCGCCACAGCGGAATGAACCGCCAACTTATCCAGTAGGATGCCCTTCCAGCCGCAACCCATCTCTGGGAAACATCCACACACACATTCACACACACACACACACACACACACACTCATACACTACGAACAATTTAGCCTACCCAATTCACCTGTACCGCATGTCTTTGGACTGTGGGGGAAACCGGAACACCCGAAGGGGGGGTGGGGGGGTCAACATTTTTTGGTTATTTTGTGTAATACATGCTTCAGTCATTTATGTATTTATTTTTTATTACATCTAGTTTATTAATAAAACTGAAGTTTTCAGTGTTTTTGGGATATTTAGTGTATCCTGACCTACAGTCTCCTCTGATTAGCTATCAGACGTTATTGTAGGTCAAACTACACAAACTGCGTCTAATTTGACTTTACTTTAAGGCTATATGTAGAAACAAACACCTATTTCTGTCTTGTGAACACTTGATGACTCTCAGTGCTCTAGATCTGCCAGTTTCATACTGTTGAACTATTTAGTCGTTCGCAATGGTATGTACCGTTATAGGGGTGGTCAAATGTATTTTTATATTATCTGTTACGTATTAACATTATTTTTTAAAATACAGATCAAAGTGAACTATTTCTCGGTATTAAAGGGCTGACCCCCCATACATCTTGTTTTGACATCCTTCAGGGGTAATCAAGCATTAATTGGGCGGTCAATCCCCCTCAGTCCCACTGTAATTCGCACCCTTACGAGTACCTGTCAGTCCGAACGTCATGGATTCGCATTTGGAGTTTATTTATTTTTTATGAACACGAAAAAGATTTAATTTGAGGAAGGATGTGAGGATGACCGCCCGGCTAGTGTCCACATGGGATGCTGTTGGACTGTTTGTGACGTATTTAAGCGTTCGCGGTTTTTTCTGACAGGAATGAGTACCGGCCGGTGTAAACACGGAGTAAGAAGAGCTCAGGATGGTCACGGATGCTGTTACATAGGGTAAGTTTGATTTACAGGCCTTCACACCCTTGACTGGGGCTCTCAAGTGCGGGTTTGTGTCGTGTGTTGCGGTGCTCGTGTCGTGAGCTCAGCTGTTTGTCCCTGTCCTCCCCCAAACTCACCATCCCCACAGGACAAGCCTGGGCTCAGCTGTCCCGAACAAACCTGCACCCTGCTGCACCTGCTGCCTCTCTCTCTCTCTCACTCTCACACACACACACACACGCACGCACGCACGCACGCACGCAGACACAAACGCACGCACACCCACGTACTCACACACGCATGTCTGGTTTACCATCCTTTTGGGCACTGTACATTCTGTATACTCCTTCCACTTACCTCTTACAAAAACCACTCAATTCTGTAAGATATGTAAACTTGTTTACCAGTATTATAATCCACCGGGATATGAATGTCTCAACAAATATTACCATTTTAAGTTTGTTACAGATCTTCTTGATTATTATTCATAAATAAAATATGGAGTATTAATAATAAACATTCTAAAAATATTGAATTCAGTTGAAAATATGAAATTGATAAATGATGCAAAATCCATCCAACAACATATAAACATTTTAATAGGCAGCATGAAAAATAATACATTTTATTAATTAAAAAAAAACCACTCACCGGCCACTTTATTAGGTACACCTTACTAGAACCAGGTTGGACCCACTTTTGCCTTCAGAACTGCCTTAATCCATCATGGCACAGATTCAACAAGGTACTGGAAATATTCCTCAGAGGTTTTGGTCCATATTGACATGATAGCATCATTCAG